ACTTGTGGTTTTTATGTGAATCACGCGTTGGTATCGATGCAGTCGCGCTTTTGTATCGATACGTTTGCATGGCTGCTGACAGTCGCCGTGTGTAACTGCTCTAAGCGGTACACAAAAGATCACACGAGAAGAGAGACTCTGATACTTGACAGGATATGATGAATCGTAACAATTTGATCAACTGTTGAAAGCTGTTATTTATGATGAATCCGTGTTCTAGTACGTGTGTGGGCGCACACTGGGAGTGTCAGCCGGCTTCACCCACGGATCTCGTGCAATACCCGCCTGCTGAGGATCTGAACAACTGCAGCGCTGCCAAGCACATGGAGTTCACCACTTGCAATGCTGCCGCCCCGCTTACCTGCAAGGTCAGTCTTGCCACAGTATTACAATGTCTTCCTTACAGTAGCGCAACGCCTACACCTACACTGACGGCGACTCAAGTTTGCAAGGGTTGTCACAAAATGGAAAAAAATATTATTATGATGAAATCATCTATTAACAATTTATTTATTGAAAACTTACAGTATTTACAGTACCAAAGCACTTCCAAGTCAAGCTGATTAAATTTAAATAATAAAACAAAATATAACAAAATAAAATAAATACACTACGCACTTTATGCGACCCATTTTACAGGCTATCAGTGCTCAAAAGGTAGTTCACGAAGAGGAGTATCCCGTGACTGATAACATACAGTTTGTCAAAGAATATAAGGAGCAAGACCTAAAATTTCGCCTATGATTACATCAAACGAGATCCGCAAGTAGCTTATCCCGTATTGCGACTGTTTACATAGCGCAATATATAATAAGAAAGTTCTTACGAGTTATCGACTTGTAGGTATAAGCACGTATTCGATTTTTTTTAGGTTCATACGACTGTCGCACAAATTGGCCAGAACCGTTTTGAGTGCGAGATTTGCCATTTCGAGTTTAGTGATTGCTACGATATTGTTCTGTTTACACGGAGATGTTCACTAATCAATTGCGAGGCAATTGTCGCCTATGTGAGGGTCATCACGAATGTTTTTGCCACCTGCCACTTCGCCTGTCACCCTGAGGCATAAGTTGACTAATCTGCTACATAAAAATAATTGTAACAGTACAGCTCCATATGAAAGAGTTCGTCCTGGGAAGTCCTGCCGTCTTAATGTGGGCATTGCTATCCGGTTTTGAAGAGTACGGGAGGGTGCTGGTGAAAATTACAGGCATATGAGACTTGTCAACTTATGACGGGCGCAGTGGCAGTGCTCCTCAGATCTTTGTGATTTAAAGCACTGAGTGACACTGCAACTATTATGGACAGGCGTGTCTCTTACCACGAGGCGCACAGCTTGTTCGTCATGTGCCTGTAATTTCCCCAGTTATGTTTATATGTCGTAAATGATAAAACTTTTTTATATTAATGTCTTCGAGACGAGAAACTATCTCCTTGTAAATGGACCTTTATCTATTGAATTTTTTGTCAGGAGTTATTATTGTTATCTGCAGAACATGCACCTCCCGGTAACGCCAACAGCGACAGAATGCCGCGTGGGTTGTCGCTGCATGAAAGGCTACGTTCTAGACGTGACGGGAAACAAATGCGTGCGTCCGCAAGACTGTCCGTGCCACCACGGCGGGACCAGTTACCCCGATGGACATGTCATGCAGGAGGACTGCAATACTTGGTATGATGCAATAGATTATTATGAGCCAATACTAGCTCAGCTTGAATTCAAATTTTTCCCGTACTAATACGGTTCGTTTTGCTTCGGTCGAGAGGCCGGGACACGGACTTTATTTCAGATTTTTTTTTTACAAACGATATGAAAGTCATTTGAAAAATGTATTTCGTATAGTATACGTGTTCTATTTAGTTGTAACTGAACTAGTTGATTTAAAAAACACTAACTAACTAACTAAATAACACTGTTAATTCAATAGTGATTAACTCAAAAAGTATATTTTTTCAGTATCGATGAAAAACGAATTACTTACTTCTCGTGTAATATTATTAAAATTTATGTACGGGTTAAAGTTTATTACCGACATCTTAACAAATTCCTACTTTTGGTTGAAAAATGATAGGGAGAAAATTTCATATTTTTAAGTAAGGACTGTTTTCCAGATTGTTGACCTGAACTATCCACAAAAAGTTTCTCATTTTGATTTAAGTAGACATCTTTCACTTGTTTTTCGTGATATTTTAAAGACGGTTATGTTGACGTATAGAGATTAAAATTTTACATTCAGTAACAGTATAATCTTGAATTTCACTTATTTTGAGTTACAACACTATTGTAATACTGTAATGGCAGTGCGACATGTAAAGTACCTATTGAACACAGCGGTTTTCTTGTAAAATTTACAAAACCACGTAAGTTTGTGTTTTTTTCTATCGCGAAAATCTTTTCGAATCGTGGTTTCACACCGTATGGTAATCAGTGTAAATCCTCAATTTTGCTATATATTTTTCCAAAGTGATTCATTCAACACTTTCATTGGTATACGGAACTAAAGCCATTTGAGCTTGTATATCGACTTCTCCTACGTAAAGGATCGTATGTCGAAATTGCCAAGTGTACAGGGGAGCGTTTTAAAGTTCTGAATTCACTCGTTACTCACTTAGAGTGATCATCTTATAGATCATCTAACCGATATCTAGAATTTTATAATACTCTATGTGAGTAACGAGTTTTGCCGAATAAAACTGAGAAAAGCTCCACTGTAAACTTGGCAATTTCGACATACGATACTTTACGTAGGAGGGGTCGATATACTTTTAAAAAACCAATCAATATAAATTCTGTGAAAAAAAATTGCTCAGCAAAAAGCTGTAAGTGACATTAGAAACTGTTTCTTTTTAAATTTGTCTTTAGTTTCTTCAATCAAAACTCTAGTTTGGTAGTCAAGTTTTTTTTTTATTATATACGAAAATACTTCACATCGAAAATAGGTACTTACAATAAAAACAGTTCGTATCGTACACTTAATTATTTCTATTTCTAACTATCGAACGAGCGAACACCAAGAATGGCTGGCCACAGCATTTCCCTCTACTCATCCCTTCTATCTTACTGTTTTTCCTTACAGTTTTCCTTAATGTTTAGACATAGACCACTAAGTGTCTATATGAGAAAGACGAGAGGTTGTTTTCCCAGCGAGTGCAAGAGCGGGAAGTGGGAGTGCAGTAAGCGCGCGTGCGCCGCTGTGTGCTCGGCGTGGGGTGACTCGCACGTCACCACCTTTGACGGTGCCAACTATGACTTCGAGGGCGTCTGCACCTACTTGCTGGTCAAGGGAGCCAGAGACGTCAATGACGGCTTCAGCGTAGAGATACAGGTATGACTATCTATAATTCAGTCCATCAGTGCAAAAGCGAGGAACAGGAAAGCGGAACGCCTGTGAATTTAATATTGTTTTAAAAATAAAATATATATTTATGACAGTTACGAAATGTATAATGATTTGTTTTTTTTTTCAAAGAACTAAAAATGTTTAATGACCTAAAATAAAAAAGAACGTCCTACATACTACCATTTTCTACAATATTACTTTAATTACACTAAATTACTACATAATTATTATATGTACGATGGAATGGTTCTATTTTTTGTTGTAAATGAAAATAGCGCCCTATATAATATATGCGTGTTACCAAAACATGCCCTGGTCATAAACAAAAAGTAACTTTTTTTAGTTCTCTTACTTTTATTCACTCAATTCCGATCACTGATAGTTAGATATAATGTTAATATCAGCTCCTAGAAATACTGTTAGGGTTCTCAAGTTATTACCTACTATATTAATTTTCCAGAATGTCCCTTGCGGTACTACAGGCGCGACATGTTCAAAGGCTGTGACGCTAAAGGTTGGTGAAGAAGCAGTCACGCTCACCAAGGATGTGCCTATCCCGAACCTTTCCACAATCAAGAGGTAATGATGTCCACGCGGGCAAATAAAAACTAAGCTAAATTCAAGTTACGTTTAGTTTATATTTCGATTTCTTTCCTTACGGGAAGAAAATACAGAAGATTCCATTTTAATGCAGAAATGCCTATTACCTTAAAGTCGGATTTTTTATTAGAGATAGCAAATTTATTTTAAACTTGTGTTAAGTTTATAAAGTACTGTTTTATGTGTATGTAATTGTATTGGTAATATAATCTTTAAAAAAATGACATCTGCTAATGTCCCTTTGAAAAATAATGTTTACAATAATAATAATGTAAACTCAAACTAATTAGCAAGACAAAACGCTTTATGACTCAGCGATCGGGGAACCCACAGCCTCTATTGTTCTGCCATACCATAACCTTGTTAAAGTATTGTAATTAAATATTTATTTTAGGACATCGACACTTGAAATAGGTATTGTAATTAAGATATTTTATCTTAGAATATGGAAACTTGGCATAAGTAACCTTAACAAAATGTTTATTGTGCAGTGGTGTATTTGGTTCAGTTCTCAATGAACTCACTGAAACACAATCAGTCGAAAAGAAACGTTAAAGATTTTTTAAACTATTAATCTGCTAAATAATAATTAATTTTACATTTAGTCTAATATAATATATTGTCATAATTTTTCTGTTATCAAATTCTTGGTTATTTTAATTTAATATCTACAAATTATTGAAAAGATAATATGGTTGACTTTGATGACCTAACACTATTTTTATTTCAAGATAAACTAGCAACCCTCTATACGACTACGATACAAGGATACAATTCATTGGTTAGATAGATTATATAACCAAGATAAATAGATTAACGAAGCGACGAAGTCGGTCGTGCACTTCGATACCAACCACAGTATGTCGATGTATTATATGAATTCTAACTTCTAACAGCCTCTGTGGCCGAACGATGTCCTGCTCGATTCCCGAGCCGGGAGAAATATTTGTATGGCCTATATCGACCCCTCCTACGTACAGTATCGAATGTTGAAATTGCCAAGTTTACAGGGGAGCGTTTTAAAATAAATTTAATTTGAAAACTTATAAAATAAATTGTGGTTGTTCATCTAGATGAGGATTTTACAATACACTTTGTGAGTAACAAGCTTTGCCGAATAAAAACTGAGAAATGCTAAAGTCACATGTTATGCTCAATTCAGTGAATTCAAAACTTTAAAACGCTTCCCTGTAAACTTGGCAATTTCGACATTACGAGGAGTACATTATGTATGTCTCTCGTGAGTTTGGGTGTAATATGTGGATTTTTAAGTGCGGTCCATGGCACCTGTGATACAAGGTTTCCCTAGTGCGGGGCTATGAGTGTGTGCTAAAAAAAATGAGCTATATCGACCCCTCCCACGTAAAGTATCGTATGTCGAAATTGCCAAGTTTATAGGGGAGCGTTTTAAACTTCTGAATTCACTGAAATAAGCATAACACGTGACTTTAGCGTTTCTCAGTTATATTCGGCAAAGGTCGTTACTCACATAGAGTATTATAAAATTCTAGATATCGGTAAGACGATCTATTAGATGATCACTCTATGTGAGCAACGAGCTTTGCCGAATGAAACGGAGAACTTTAAAACACTCCCCTGTAAACTTGGCAATTTCGACATACGATACTTTACGTAGGAGGAGTCGAATTATGGTTTTTCTCATGTTGTGTTTTAATTTAGGATTAAACTTCGCGAGGCGGGGTCATTCGTGTTCTTGGACGTACCGTCGCTTAGCATGAGTATGCAATGGGACCGCGGCATGCGGGTCTATGTCAAAGTCGACCCTAATTGGCAGGGCCGTGTAAGTACCAAATTTTTTCAGCACATCAAAAATATTGTGTCGACTCAGCACAAAGACACTGTTTATCAACAAGAAGCAATTTTTGTATGCGTTTACTTCAAACCATCAAAGAAGAAGAAGAAGAAGTGGCTTAACTTAGTAGCTTTTAGTAGCAATAGAGTTCCTTCTGAAAGAGTTCGTCCAGGGTAGTACTGCCACCTTACCAAGCAGTAATGTAAGCATTACTGTGGTTCGGTTTTGAAGTGTAAGGGTGCTGGTGAAATTACAGGCACATGGGACTTGACAACTTATGTCTCAGGGTAACGGGCGCAGTGGCAGATGCCCCTCAGATCTTTGCAATTTAAAGCTCTAAAGCTTACCATCAGGCGCACGACTAGTTCATCCCGTCACTAGAAATCTAAAAAAAAAATTAAGAAATAAAAACAATTCCCAAACATCTCATTTATGTCGAGTCTTAGATTTTTCGAGATTGCTACACAATGGAAATGAAAATGTGAAACATTCGTTATTATAAGAAAAAACGACATTCCAGTTGAAATTATTTGGGGAACGAACTTTTCTAAGCCTAGTTCTGGTCTGGGTAGTCTTCTGGGGATGATTTGTAGTTACAAGTGTTGTAACAAATTGCCACATTAAAAAAACAAGTGTTGACGAGATTATTATTCCAGGTGGCTGGTTTGTGCGGTAACTACAATTCAGACATGCGCGATGACTTCCAAGGCCCCACAGGCGGTATTCCTGAGTCGTCAGCTCTACTTTTTGTCGATTCATGGAAAATGAAGGATACTTGTCCCAAGCCTACTGAGGTTACTGTGAGTACATCAATATGTCTTTAGTTTCTTTAAAAAGGGATTGCTGGACGAGCATGAGTTACAAGATCGAGCGCGAGCGAGGCTTGTTTTAATACGAGTCAAGCAATCTCCGGTCCCGCCGAGGCATGTATAGAATTTTTCTCAAACAATGTGAGTAATGTGATAAAAGCCTAACGAGAGGCAGATCTGTAATAGAAAAAGTAAAAATATATATATTAATTAATATTACAAGTAATATTTGACGTGTTAGGACAATGTTTTGGCACATTAATATTAGCTTGCTGAACTTCTGATGATGTGTTCAAATGTGTAATCGCTCTTCCCTCTAGCACTCATTTTCGCGACCAAAATACAAAAAAGATGGAAAAACAAAAAAATACCAAAATACTTTAAATGTTACCGCCATTTTCTTTTTTTTTTAAGTAAGCGGTACAGGTAATAATTTTTAATTCTCGCAGTTATGGCCACTAGGCAGTTGGCTGTATGAGTTTTTCTTTTGTCTGTTTACATATTTCATTATTAGTAGGTAGATTTAAAAGTTAAGAGAAGAGGACAGTAATGGATTTTCATACTTACTTCGCAGGCCTTGGCCGGGAAGAAGTCGCATGGTCCATAAATGACAAACTTTTCCGTGTTTGTTTTTTGAAAGTAATGCAAACATTTCCGAGCACGTTTGAGAAAATAACATTTACACTGCTTGTCTTTTACTCCAATGACAATACGATAATAACATAGCACAAATTTCCAGGACCATTGCAAAGAACGCCCCCACCGCAAAGCGTGGGCGTCGGCAATTTGCGGGGCCCTAAAACGGTACCCGTTCAACCTGTGCCAAAGCGAAGTGCCCCCCAACGGGTACATTGAGCGTTGCGAACGCGATGCCTGCGCCTGCGACTCGGGAGACGACTGCGAGTGCACTTGCAACGCTCTGGCTGCGTATGCGCAACATTGCGCTAACAGAGGCGTTGTCATCAAATGGCGTAATAATGATTTATGCCGTAAGTACTTCATAGAATTCTACGCCTAAAGTTAGAGCCTAAAGAGAGTAAAGTCCACGATGTTATGATTATATACTGTGATAATGCGTGAAGTCATTCCGTGATTTGCATTGATTCAAAGGTCACATTATATAGTTCGTGTGTAATTGTAACTCGGTCAGAATTGAAATGTCACGTTTCAAATCACAAAAACGTTGAAGAATCAAATCGGTACTGTAAATTGAAGACACTAATTGGTGTCTACAATACCTTTGTGTAGAAGACACCAATAGGCGTATTGAAGAGACAAATATATCCCTGCTCATTATACTATGTTTGAGTGGCATTCCAGTTATCGGAATTAATGTGGACATTCCTTTCTAAAAATGTCGGAACTTCTTGGAACTCGGAAATATGATCACATATTTGAATATGAGTATTATTTAATGAAATTTGCTACAAATTATTGCCACGGAAAATATTATTATATTTTTTTATAGGTGCGTTCCTGCTCCGCAAAACATTTTATAAGAACGCTTTGCACGCATATTTCGCTGTAAAAAGAACTAACTGCTTTCTCTTACACACAGCATGGAAAGTAACTGCTATCTCTTTCACACATTACAAATACAAGATAAGACAAACAATAGAAACCATTGCCGTTATCGTATATTGGCAATTCCTATTGCTTGATATCTTGATTTCTTCTTTTGAGAGAACAGTTACTTTAGGAAGGCCGTATGTATAAACATTGTAATTATTATAATGAATACATACATATAAATAAAGCTGAATAATATGCCTATATTCATTTTATGCCTCGCCCAATTTTATATGCATTGATATGGTAATATGAATCCCAGGATTTTTTGTCTCGTCTCGAAATGGTTATGTCCCTACAAAGAAAACGTTCAAACTTTAGGTAACTAAGGCTATTATCACACTGCTCCGCGTCATGCAACGGTGTACGGAGCTGCCATTTTTAACGTTGTACCAAAGTATGTCAGTTTGTATAGAAAACACGCGCCGTACGACATACTGACAACGCGTCTCTGCGCTTGAGTGTGGAGCGCATGATCTGTCGTCCCTCATACTTCGCTGCACTGTAATAATCGCCTTGACTCCCTCAATTCCGATCAGCGATAATAAGACAAGTACGGTAACTCCAAACAAACGTATCAGCGCGCCATGTGTGAGTGTGTATGGAATTCAAAGTGTATTCCAGAGCATTTAAGTTTATTTGAAAAGAGCAATCCCTAGAGTTTCTTTGTCGTTTTTTCTCAGGGAAGGTAGCGTAGTAAACGAGCAGTAGCTTAATGTAATGTATTGTCGACTCCTCCTACGTAAAGTATCGTATGTCGAAATTACCAAGTTTACAGGGAAGTGTTATAAAGTTTTCCGTTTCATTCGGCAAAGCTCGTTGCTCACGTAGAGTGATCATCTAATAGATCATCTTACGGATATCTAGAATTTTATAATACTCTATGTGAGTAACGACTTTTGCCGAATATAACTGAGAAACGCTGAAGTCACGTATTAGGCTTATTTCAGTGAATTCAGAACTTTAAAAGGTCCACTGTTAACTTGGCAATTTCGACATACGATACTTTACGTGTGAGAGGTCGATGTAATTGTGACGTTTTCAAGTGTAAATTTATTTTACCTATGGAATAAATGAACTTTGACTTTGATTCTTTTAACTGACCAACCGAACCGTTGCAACTCGGTAGGAAACGCTTCCACTGAATAATTTTAAGTTAAGCAATTCTACCTATTACAATCGCAATGTACTATTGCTGCTAGACTGCCTCCTCCTTCTTTTAAAAACATGTATTGTGTATGTAAGAATATATCGATGCCTTACTTTCTCAAACTCGTATCTTATAAAGAGTGGTTATTCAGGAGATGGCAAATCTTTCTACTTCTTATCATGGTGGTTAATTTGGATGCATTACATAGGCAAAAACCAGTGTGTGAATATGAAAGAAATGTGATCTGAAATCAGCCTGCAAAATGTCTGAAATCAGCCTTGTATATAGACTAATTTTTTTTACATTTCGGTCATTTTGTGCTTTAAGATACGAGTTTGACAAAGTTAGGCGACGGATTCTGTATAATGTATGCATTGACTTACAAATAAATGGACGACGGGTCTAATACAAAAACCACGAAACAAAAGTGCCAAGTCAACCTATTTAAACGTAGTGACATTTCAAGGAATATGAAAAAGCTAAAACTAGAATTTCAATTGTAATGTCATCGCAGTACTGTCTAATTTTGCTTACTTCGCTGTCAGTCGAACAAACGAAGACTAGAGCGTGAATGACACTCTGTATACGATTTTAACGCCCTATAAATTCGGACACTTTTTAGCGCGGACCCGACGTCCATATAACTGTAAGTCAATGAATGTATGTTATTATATTATATGTATCATTATGTGTATATACATATATGTAAATTTATAAGTAAAATTGTCGTATTTAGTAATTTCTATATGTCTGTGTAATTATTTATATCTAGCACCCCGCTTTTATTCATGTTTAATCGCTCTTTATCTTAAGGTTGTTTGAAAGAAATCGCTGTAAGCGATAAGACCGCCAATTGTTACCCTAATGTGTTTCATGTTTGTCCTGTAATCTTTTTACGTTTGCTGTGCTAACAATAAAGAATTTTCTATCTATCTAATTTGTTACTTACAGCGATGCAATGTGACGAGGACTCTTGGCATTACGACAGCTGCGTTTCGGCTTGCCCAATGGAGACATGTGACAACACGCTCTACTACCCCGAGATCAAAACGCTGTGTCAATATGATGCTTGTGTCGAAGGTACGTCGTGTTTTCTAAAGAAGTCCCTTCAGTGTAAAACTCATCATGCTGATGACTTTTTTAATGATATTAAATAACGGGACGAACAAATCGGCGGTAAGCGACTTGTCCATACCTGTTGCAGTGCCACTCAGAGCTTTAAAACACAAATATCTAAGGGGCACTGCCATTGCGCCCGTCACCCAGAGACATAAGTTGACAAGTCCCATGTCCCTGTAATTTCACCAGCACCCTTACCCTTTAAAAGCTCACATAATGCTCACATTAACTGCTTGGGAGCAGAAATAGGTAAGGTGACAGTACGACGAACTATTTCAGAAGGAACTCTACTGCTACCAATACTATGTGGTGAATGTATAAAAAAAATTAAAATGATAGTTTTCAATAATCCTAACCTGAATTGATATTACCATGTCCCAGTTTTATAACTTAAGATTGATAATCGACGCCTCCTACGTAAAGTATCGTATGTCGAAATTGCCAAGTTTACAGGGGAGTGTTTTAAAGTTCTCCGTTTCATTTGGCAAAGCTTGTTACTCACATAGAGTGATCATCTAATAGATCATCTAACCGATATCTAGGATTTTATGATACTCAACGTGTGTTACGAGATTTGCCGAATAAAAGTGAGAAATCTAAAGTCACGTATTATGCTTATTTCAGTGAATTCAGAACTTTCAAAGGTTCCCCTGTAAACTTGGCAATTTTGACATACGATACTTTACGTGGGAGGGGTCGAAATATGAAAAACTTGACAAGTCCCCTGCTTGTAATTTCACCAGCACCCGTACTATTCAAAACCGGAACGCAGTAATGCTCACATCACTGGACGAACTCTTCACAAGATGCTCTATGGCTACTAAAGACATGTGCCTGTAGATTCAGCAACACCCTTATCCTTATAAATTAATTTGCTACTCCGCGAACCTGAAGTGTTAAATAGCTGCGCTTGTGTTGAACATTTGTTTTCATGTAGTTAATTTTCCTTTTATTATAAATGTATACAATAGAATAATATAAAGTTTTTCAATAGGGACATAACATTTTTGTATTTTACTAAAACACAAAATAATTGAGTATTCGAGGTGAAATTTATTCCAGCTGAAGTACGCTTGTTTCATATAAGAATGGAATTAATCTCGTTCATATGACCACCGAGAGCACGTTAGCAGCGTTCAATTCTTTGGAGTAAATTTTCCACCATTTTTCGACACATATCGAAAACACACATGCCGAAACGTTGACAATTTTCCGTTAGATATTGTTCCTGAACTCATTTAACGTTGTTGGCATAAACCAACTACTTAACGTAGCCCCATAAAAAGGTCAAGTTTAAAATAATCCAACGGTCAAATCACATGAACTAGGTGGCCATTCGACCGAACCATTTAGCACGATTACACGATCTTACTTACTCTTCTATAGATTGATTGTTTAACCAAACTGCAAACGTGCTCGCGGTGGTTAAATTTGGTAATTAATTATTATATATATAAAAAAAATTATTATGTCTATAATATTATTAATTAAATGTAACATGTATGTTGCACCTGGAATAATTTTCCGCTCGTTATCTCAATTATTCTGCGTTTTATTGAAATCCAAAATTTGTTATATCCTTATTGAAAAATCCGATATTATCTACCAGAATTTTGTCTACTGAGTCTCATTGAACTTGATAAATTGAAACGTATATTTATCAGAATGTTTATCAAACTTATTTTGAACATAATATGAATGAAGTAAACAACAGAGTTTGCTAGCATTGCTACACGCTCCAAAATTGTGGTGCACTAATAAACCTACTCAAGTTTTTGTAGCGCCGCCATGTTGAAATTAATAAGTATTCTTTTTGTAAAATTTGTAATAAAAAAATTGTTTTCAATCATTTCGTTTATTACCTAAACTGATCGATAAATCACGTGTTTGAGTCGAATTTTTGTTCAACATTTTTCGAAGCAGTCCGTGGTCCTTATTCGTGTGATTCCGCGGCAGTGACTCAACAGAAACTGTTTTCAAATTGTTATTGTAATCGTAAATTTTTCATAATTTTGAAGTTTTTATTGAATGTCACAATGTTTGGCTAACATGATATTCAATTATTTTTGTGAACGTCACCTGGCAGTTTGATTGATTGAAGGCCTTGGTTCGAATCCAACCGGATCGAAGGAATTGTATGTAAGGGTTCGATTTTTATATTAATAAGTATAACAAACTGTAATGGAGTCATTTGACAAAAATAATTGAATATCATGGCGGTCAAACATCGTGACATTTAATAAAGATTTAAAAGTAAAAAATTTTAAAGCGACGTCTCTAGTTAGCTGCTGGTAGCTATAAAGGTACCTGGTTGAGTGAAGAAATAAATTTCTCGCAGATGGGGCTGCGGTAAAAAGTCTTTAAAAACCTAAAACAAAGATCTGCATAGACAACAGGCACATTACATTATTATTAATATGTTTTTCCACCCGCCAGGCTGCAAACCAAAGGTAACTTGCCCAGAAGGCTTTGTATATAAGGACGCTAACTTTACGGACTGCGTACCTCGCACGACCTGCCGGTCGATCTGTATGACCTTGCCGGACGGAAAAGAAATACTGGAAGGAGAGGTCGTCGAAGAGGACGATTGCCATACTTGTCACTGTTTCAAGAAGCAGAAGATTTGCAGTGGAAAGCCTTGTGCAACAACCGTGAGTTTGTTATAACTTCTTTAAACTTACTTGACATTTCTTAAAAATTACTTATATATCATACGGTGAGGTCGGGCTCGGCCTGCGGCGTGTGGTCGGGTTCAGATTACGGGGTGTGCTTATGCTTTTCGGTGGCACAGCACTTAGTACTATGGGCGCTTGATGGGGAGGGTTCCATTCCCGATTTGGGTCAATTTAGGGAACTAACATTTGTAACTTGGTTCTGGTCTGGGTATTCTGAGTATTGCCCTCACAGTTATCGCTATTCTGATATTTATAGTACAGGAAATTCCCTATTTTGAGACCAGAATTTTGGTCTGATTATCTGACATTTTTTTCCTTTAAATATCTCACTCTGGCATAGCTTCCAAGAAAAAGGAATGTAACAAATGTCGAGATACAAGATAGTTCTATGTTTTTTGTGTAAATGCTCCACTATTCTAGCTCTGTTATTAGTATTGACGCATAAATCGACGAACACAAAGAAATGTTCCAGGTCAAAGGATTTTTTCATTGTTATATCAGTAATATTTATATTTTCATATTTTGTTATAAATCTCTCATGATGCGTCAGCGTCACTTTGAAAAGGCCATACCAGTATCAAACCCACCGTTTGATATTCACGGATAGTATAAATTAACCATTGGTGTTCACGTAATATATTCCACCAAAAAGTATTCATTTAGTTAACCTAATATACATTATAACGTTCATGTATTAGCATTACAAAACAAAGAGTTTAATGCTTTAGCAGTTATAGGTGAACACAATAACATTTACTGTTACAATTTGAATTAATCAATCAGATTATTTTTTTTTAATATAAATAGTCTTAATAAAGCAAATAAAAAAAAAAAAATAAAAAAAAGATTAGTACAATAATACAAAGTTTTTTGTATCAAAATACTAATTATAAGTAATTCATATTTTTTTATAAATCGCTAAATGTTTTAGCATCAATTTGCAATGACCGACAGAATCAAACCCATCGTTTCATAGTTATGGATAGTAAAATTATCCATTCGTTTTCGCATAATGTGTTCTATTAAAAAATACAACAAACAAACTTTTTCAAGCAAAATTAAAGGGTATCAATAACTTTTTTATGATTGTCATGCGCCTAAGTGTAAGCAACACGCTTGCTCAGGATAGTTGCAGTGCTACTCAGACTAAATCGCAATAATCTAAGAGGCATTACCACTGCGCCCGTCATCTTGAGACAAAGCACGCTGTTTAACAAGCTCTATTGCTACAAAATTTAACTAGTTGCCTCTGTCACGTAATATTTTCAAAAATATAGACAAATTATTTTTCTTCTAGCATCCTACAGTGGAATTGCTGTATACAACACCGCCCCCGCTGGGCAATAATCAACTGAAATGCTTGTCCGGCTGGACTCCGTGGATCAGTAGAAGCAATCCCAAGCCCGAGTCCAAGGGACAATCCATCGTCAAGGAACCGCTTCCAGAAATGAATGAACTGGTAAGAAGAACTACTACAACTCAACAGTTCTGCAATATTAAAATTCAAAATTTAATACGAAAGCACAATACTCGCTGAACCTGCAGAAACCTCTAAAATTACTAAGCTGAAAACTCGATACCGGCGAAATCTAAAAAGAGCACCACCAATAAGTATGCTTTAAATACTTACTATACTTTAGCACGCGTACTATGCGTCAGCACGCCCGCACGCACGCACGCACGCTCGCACATGTACATACAGACGCAAACGCACAGCCAAACACACAGCCATACACTTAAATCGATTTTCATAAAAATCGAATTGTAAAGTGCATCCCTAGTATTAAGTGAGAGTCAACAGGATTGCAAGATGGGTATTGTGTGCAGTTGTCTCCTTTTCGTGTTAAAAGATTTTTTACATCGTAGTATCTAATATATTTTATTTGTTTATAATTAACAGGTCCACGATTGTGTTTAATAAGTTTTTAGCCTATTAACACGCTTGGAGACTTGGATTAAGGAATTAAATCAAATTATAATGTTTCCGTCCACGATTTTGTACAGAAACGGGTTAGAACCCGGCTTTTGCTAGAAGCCCGGTTAAAAACCGGGCAGGTTGATTAGGTTTTAACACACTGTCCATCTCTGATTACAGCAAATCGGCGAGCCAATGTGTGATTCAGGTATGATGAAAAAGATTGAATGTCGAACAATAAAGGACCACAAGGACGCAAAGGAGACGGGGCTGAACGTCGAGTGCAGCCTGGAGCGAGGTCTGGTCTGCGAGGGACCTGGGGATCTCTGTCCCTACTTTGAGATTAGAGTTTTCTGCGACTGTGGTGGTAAGAAAACGTAAAAAAGACAGACTATACTACAATACATGTACGGAGTACGGTGGCCTATACAAAAGTCATTCAGAGGGTTATCTATCTGTAGTCCGAAATGACATATTCCAGAAATAGCGTTTGCTCGAATTTTCATAGACTCGAAAGTAATTTTGAGAGAAAAATGTTTTTTTTTTTCGTTTAAACCTAACTTAACCGTACCTAATCGTGTCTTTGCAATAAACATCCAACATATCCTGAAAGAACAACGTTTTCGTTATAATTCGGTTTTCGGTGTAACGAAAATTCGAACAAACGTTATTTCGGAAAAAAAATGGAGTTTGTGATAGGTTACCCATTCAGAGTTATAGTAACCCATTGCTACAAGTCATCATCATCATCAACCCATTTATAGATCCCAATGTGGATCTCAGGCGAGGGTCTAGGCTATAATCCGCCATGCTGGCCTAATGCGGGTTGTGACCCTTCGACGTGCAGGTTTCACCACGATGTTTTCCTTCACCGAAAAGCTCATAATAAGTTTCAAGTTAAACACACATAAATTCTAAGAAACACAGAAGTGCGAGCCCGGATTCGAACCCACGATCTCTGCTCGAGAGGCAGTAGGTCAAACCATTAAGCTACCACGGCTACAATTCATTTGATCTATTTCTCTCTAGAATTCCAATGCCTGGACTCTGTTCATCCAAACCACCCTCACCCTACCGACTGCAGCAAGTTCTACGAGTGTACTCCCGACCTGATGAATCCTGACAAGCCTCACACAGTACTGAAGAGCTGCGGCGTTGGCACTCTGTACAACCCCGTCACGATGATTTGCGACTTTCCCTCTGCTGTACTCGCCGTTAGGCCCGAATGTGGAACTAGAATTGGTAATAACTTTTGCTCGAATTTTCATAACCTCGAAAGTAATTTTGAGAGGAAAGCGTTTTTCTTTTAAACCTAACTTAACCTAACCTGACCGAACCTAATCGTGTCTTTGCGATAAGCATCCAACACATCCCGAAAGAACAACGGTTTCGTTATAATTCGGCTTTCGGTGTAATGAAAATTCGAATAAAGTTTATTTCGGAAAAAAAAATTTGAGTTTGTGATAGGTTACCCTGGTAATAACAGGAATTATTTTTTACTTGTGTAAAGATTTTTTTATAATATCAAACGACAGGACGAACCAGTCGTGCGCCTGATGGTAAGCTATACGCTTGTCCATAACAGTTTCAGTGCCATTTAGAGCTTTAAATCGCAAAGATCTGAGAGGCCACTGCGCCCGACACCCTGAGACATAAGTTGACAAGTCTCATGTGCCTGTAATTTCACCAGCACCCTTACCCTTCAAAACCGGAACGCAGTAATAATCACATTACTGCTTAGCGGCAGAAATAGGCAAAGTGGCAGTGCTTCCCTGGACGAACTCTTTCACTATACTGATGTTGACTGTTGTAAACTTTAAATATTTACAATATTTTTATTGTATGATTAAAATAACAAAGCTTGGCAATCAATTGTACTTCGTGTTTAAATTGACAAAAATACAAATTAAAACGTTTCTTCGGCGGTAATAAAGAACAAGAAGATTCAATCGAACCAATTAAGTGGTTTTTATATCACGTGATACGCAGTAGATTTTATTTTTAATTCAATCATTTTAATTTATTTTCATTTGATTAGACATTTGAATATAAGAAGACGCAGCGAAGGTGGGTAGACCACCCATAAGGTGGACTGATGACCTGGTGAAGGTTGCGAGACATTTGACCAATTGCATAGCTTATAAACATTTGTCTAAAACTTGCAGAAACTCTACTTCCTCCTGAGGATAGATCACCCAAGTGTCCGCCTGGACAAGTGTACTCCGACTGCGCCTACCCGTGCGGCAAACTCTGCCACCATTTTAAGAAGACACTCTTTGAGAAGGGAGAATGCACAATCGACCAGGTGAATAACTACCACGTCTACTGTTGGGTAATATTCCGGAAAATTTTAAATACTTAGTTGAAATTTTTCCGGTAAAAATTTCTGAAAATTAAAAAAAATTTAATTCGAAGACTCATATTATTTTCATCGTTAAGAAATATCTTTTGATTTTTTAACCGACTTCAAAAAAGAAGGAGGTTCTCAATTCGACTGTATGTTCTTTTTTTGTTTTTTTTTTTTGTATTGTTGTTACGCGATAACTCCGGTATTTGTGAACCGATTTTCATGATTCTTTTTTTGTTGGAAAGGGGGTACTTCCATAGTGGTCCCATTTCATTTTGAAGGAAATCATCCACCTCTAAGGGTGAGTGAAGAGCCTTCACGCGTGAAGATTCATTTTTTATAAATAGCGCCTAACTTTAAGGTTCCTGAGGTCACTTGGTGTGGGTAAAGATCGTGACTGTACTGTTGACTTGCCTGACCTTAACTCACTCAACAAATACTTCACCAACTCACCATTTACTGTTGCTGACTCTATCAAAGCGGACACGCTCACCTCACTGGGCACTGCTACTCATCCTGATTGTGTACCTTTTTCTTTTCGCGAAATCACTGAGGGGGAAGTTAAGAAGAGTATCCTATCCATAACTTCCAAGGCTGTGGGTGAAGATGGTATTTGCCGCGACATGCTGATACCTATCCTGGATGACGTTGCTTCAATTATCACACACATTTTGAATACTTCTCTTGCAACTAGCGTCTTTCCTAGCGATTGGAAATTAGCTCATGTCATTCCCATCCCTAAATCCGCTACTCCCACGGCTTTCTCCCAATTTCGTCCTATCTCCATCCTACCATTCCTGTCCAAGGTCCTTGAAAGCACAGTTCATAAACAACTTCACTCATATGTCTCTCGTCATGAACTTATAAGTCCGTATCAATCTGGTTTTCGTCCTGGTCACAGTACTGTAACTGCTTTGCTTAACGTCACCGATGATATTCGCCACGCCATGGACAACAGGTTGTTTACCATTATTGTTTTGCTGGACTTCAGCTGTGCTTTCAACTCTGTCGACTATGACATCCTCCTTGCCATTCTCTGCTCTCTTAACATCTCCCCTGCTGCAATTGCTTGGTTTTCGGATTACCTCCGCAATCGCTATCAAAGGATCAGGAATGATGACATTTATTCTGATTGGTCTCCTTTGACTTCAGGGGTGCCACAGGGTGGTGTACTTTCACCTCTTCTCTTCTCGCTGTTCATAAACGAGCTCACTAAATTAATTTCTCCTCCATTCCACTTATACGCAGATGACCTGCAAATTTATAGACATTTTGATGGAGCCAATACCCAATCTGCCATTGAATCTATTAATAAGGATCTTCTTGTGGTGAAGTCTTGGGCTGATGCGTTTGGTTTGCTTGTAAACCCTAGGAAATCACAGGCAATAATTGTAGGTAGCAACAGACTTTACTGCAGGTTGGACATTAATAATCTCCCCAAGGTCTCGTATGATGGAGTGAGTCTTACATATGCTGAAAATACAAAGAACCTGGGTCTGATAATCGACCGTACACTGTCCTGGAGACCACAGGTAAATGAGGTTAGTCGACGCATGCACTTTTCCTATCATTCTCTCAAGCGGCTTCAATTCTTCTTACCGTTCAACACCAAGGTTATGCTTGCTCAGTCCCTACTACTCCCTCTTCTCGACTATGCCGATGTTTGTTATTTGGATGTTACTGAGGAGCTGCTTAACAAACTAGAGCGCCTACAAAATCTGGCAATCCGTTTCATATTCGGTTTACGTAAATATGACCATATCTCTGAATTTCGGACCAAATTGAAATGGCTCCCAATCCGACTTCGCCGAGATATGCACGTTCTTTGTCTTCTTTATAAAATTTTAAATTACCCCCAGCTTCCTCATTATCTGTGTTCCCGTTTTTCCCCCTTATCCCCCAATTCCCGCCCAAAACGTACCTGTGACACTAGAACACTTTTATACCCCCAATCCAACTCCAAATTCTTTCACAATTCTTTTACCGTAAGTGCAGCTCGTATGTGGAATAAACTACCTGCTAACATTCGTGATAGTCCATCGGTGGCATCTTTCAAACACAAATTAAAAGAGCACTTCCTGTCGAACGCGTTAGATAGTTTATAGGTAACATATTTGTAAACAAATGATCTGTTATTATAATATATATTCTGCTTATGTATGTATTTATGTATATAAAGTTCGTGTATGTGCATATGTATGTATATTATTATCATTTATATTTTATTCACATTTAAATTTAAATTTTGTTGTACATTAATTAGTCCCGCAGACTTCATTTTTGCACCACGGCTAGGGTTGGCTGGAAGAGATCTCTTATAGAGACAAGCTCACCTTTGTATATGTCCATTGTAACGTGTGTTTCATGTGTCTTTTCTTTGTACAATAAAGAATATTATTAATTTAGGAGCAATTACTTTTAGCAATTATTTAGTTGACTTTGCTATTTCGTCAATTCAAGGCGTTTTTCCCTCGATATACTTTGAGTAGTGTCGTAGTGAGAACCTGTTTTTATATCTCCAGTATCAAGTCCTGTATAGTGGCGAACTAGGGGATATTTCAATGAAACTTAGCAAATAGACGGAATTCCACGTACTTTTGAGGTCGGTTTTTTAGTACTCTGTACTGAGATTATTATATAGCGTGAATTGTAAAATATATTTTATTTTTCAAAATGTAAATTTTTGCATGACACAACACTAACCACTCTATAATGTGTCCGAAAGAATTACTGCCACATAAATAATACCCGACCCAATTAGAAGACGCTTAATACGAATGAATATACATGATATTGCCTCTTAATTTCGTCGAGTATTGCCATCGAGTATATAACCAGAAATAGAGACGAAATAAGGACCATTCAACCCTGGCAACTCATTAGCCAAATGGTACTGATAACACTTTTAAATATCAACTCTCGTTTGCGCTGAAATCACAAATTGGAAAACTGAAATAGTACAGCGCTAACAACTGACCTGCGTGAACGTCGCCGTATATTATCAAAAAATATTCTGCATTTATGGGGGGCTGTTCAATTCGGTGATGCGGGAAAAACAGCAAAACATCTAATAACAAAACAAACGGAACGACATTTCATCGGTAATTAAACATTAAATATGTAATTTTTCAATTATCGTCCATTATAGCAAAGCTCGAGTTAAACTGGTCGATTTGAAGTGAAACAATAGACGGCAATAATGATTTAGCATAATAGTTTTCAAACAAATTGAATAATGTTTCGTCTCTGCGTGGCAGTCCAACATGGTAACCGTTGGGCCACAGAGGCTGTTAATTTTTTTATTAGATTGATTTTTATTGATGGAACGAACGAGTCGCACGCCTGATGGTAAGCGACATGTCTGCTCATAACGACACGTCACATGTACCCATTCCCTTTGTTCAAATACTGAGTAAAATCATTTTTGACTTATTTTTGGACGTATTTATTGTATTTAATTTAATAAAAATGTGCAGAGCAAATGGGTCGTGAAAAAAAACGAAATGAGATAGAGACAGAACTAGTGAATGTAGACAGAATGAGGTGCTTGAATTATTGGTTCGTTCACGAACACCCTTTAAAACTGTAGCGCAATAATGCTTAAATTAATTCTTAGTGGGCGAAATAGGTAAGTTTGCTAATTTAGGGAAGTACTGCTTGCTGTACTTCCCTGGACTGAACCTCCCTGAATTCCCTGAACTCTTTCACAAAGGGAGCTCTACTATTTCTGTTTATAATTGTGACTTAATTTTACTGGTTCAAAAATAATAATATAATAATAATTGTGTTTTCTAGAGACTGTAATAACTTAATTTTTTATTGAATTGATATTCAATTAGTTTTCACTTGAAATTACTCCACTAGTTTGTTATAATTATTAATACAAAGATTACAACACTCAGAAAAAATTCCTTCGATCCGGCCGGATTCGAACCGACGCCTTCTAGCAGACCGTGCTAGACGCTATACCAACTGATCTGTTTTTATCCACAGGATTGCGTAAAAGGTTGCATAGACGAATCGGTGGCACAGATCACATGCGATTTCGAATCGCTATGGCGCGACGAGAAAACTTGTGTACCTAAACGAGACTGTACCTGCTATTCCAACGGAAAAGTTGTCAAGGTAATGTTAACTTGCCTAAAGTAGTATTTGTAAATGTTTTTCATCATCTTCTAAAATAGACTGTATATTATGCTGATAAAGTGGTTTTTCTGACCGGTTCAAGGCAGTTCGGTGTGAATAAATGTAAATATGAGTCCCTAATATAAATAAATGAATGATATGAATAAATCTTATTAATTTATAATTCTCTGGTGTTAAATGAAAAAGTAATTTCAAATTCATTTTCAGCATGTTTCTTCCTGTGTTCTTTCAATTGATTGAAGCAATAATAAATGTTGAATCGTATATCAATGTTTATTTAGAGAAACGTAATATAAAAGAGTAACGGTCATATTTCAATAAATAAGAGTTAGACATACAGTAGCAATTAAAGACACATCTCTTATATCGACTTAGTAAAACTTACTCACCTTTTATTGGAAAATATCAACTTAATTAAACAAAGTGGTAATGCAGAAACAACTGAAAAATTGTAACAAGTTTGCATAAATAAAAAAAAAATCAACGAAATTCACAAGCACAACAGCACAAATCTGTATTAGTAGAAAATTAAAACAAATTAATTAAAAAATGTTAGTCGACTAATTTTTTCTTTTCAAATTAGACTAAAAATAAAAAAGCAATATAACCGACCAGACTTTTCTAAAAACACTGTATTATTTTTGGGGTTTTGCTAGTGTTCAACAAGATCCGCCGATATGTGTATTTGAATTTCACGTGGTAGTCTTTTAAAGTTCCTTTTCATCGTTTAGCCGGGTGGCACAGTATCAGACGGCTGCCTGAAGTGCCAATGCCTCAACGACGAGCTGCATTGCGACACATCCGCCTGTAACACAGTACCCCCCACTGCCCGTCTTCAGTCCACCACAGAGACACCGCATACCTTCTTCGCCACAGAGACGACGCATACATTCTTCACCACCTCTTCACCACCGCCTGAATGCGCTCCTGATGGGTATGTTGTATCATTTTCTTGTCGAGTGCTATAGTCTGTCTTTTTAAAGATCGAGTAAAGTGACAGTTGGTTGCATAAAAGTGTTGCCCACTTACAATTAAGCAGCTAGTGATTGAAGTCGATAAATATTTTATCTGCTATCGACTGAATGTCGGTTACTCTAATACGATAAATAGCCCAATTTGTTTCGTCGCCGAGCCGAATCATGATCGGCATTTTAGTCCTCCAGTTGGACGCTCGGCTTGTAAAAGTCTGTAGCTTCCAAGCTAACGAACATTTCGTAGTTTTTTCCGACGATTAGGGAATCTTCGGAAAAAACTACGAAATTTTCAGAACTTTACGAAAGGTTAACTTAACAATGAATATATTGATTAGAAATTTTGTAGCTTTTTTCCGAAGATTCACTAATCATCGGAAAGACATTACGACATTTCCAGAACTTTATTAAAAGTTGACTTAAAATGAATAAAAAAAAAGAAAAAAGAAAATTTTCTGTGTTTTTGTTGTTGTGTTGTTTTTGTTATTTGTATTCATAATCTTAACAAACATTTGTTACGAACAGATACATAAATCTTTTATGGGGCGACCAACCTCTGCCAGAAACATCGTTCAACGCCAGCAGCCAATACAGCGATTCCTTCAAGCCTCAGTATGCCAAACTCGACGCGAACACTGATCAAAATGGTTAGTTTCTTTGTTTTTGATGGAGTCTAAAGAGTATGTTTACGAGTACACACAGGCGCGATGTGACTGAGAAGCATTTTTAGACTCACTTGTGTATATTAATCAGATTAAGGAAAAAATAACTGCAGGATTGGTGTTTTTTTAATTTTTGTTCTCATCTCTCGCCATGCTCAATAGCTTCGAAAACATTTTTTATATAAAAAAGAATTACTGCGCATTTAACCTCCATCTTACCTGATATTAGTAACGATGAAGTGGAGCATGCACACCTAAATAGCACCTATTCACTGTAGCCTTGAAAAGGCCCAAGTTGTAGCGTTCAGGGAGTAAGTCTGCGGTCAGGGAATTCTGTTCGCCGAAGCGTAATGCTTCGTGCGAATCCTGGAGATATTTAAAACGCAGGGATGGTACCCTAGTCTTGCGATGATGGAATTCCAAAATCTGATTTTCATACAAAAGCTCATTTAAGGTTTTGAGGCGCCATCTATTGGCATTGCATTGAACTCTGTAGTTCAGAGCCGTCACTGAATCATAAGAAACCTATCGAAGTAATAATTCCTGGTGATATGCGACACGCCTGTCCATAACAGTTGCAGTGCCACTCAGAGTTTTAAGTCGCAAAGATCTGAGGGGCTCTGTCACTGCGCCCGCCATCTTGAGACATAAATTGAGAAGTCGCATGTGCCTGTAATTTCACCAGCACCCTTACTCTTCTAAACCGGAACGCAGTAGTGCTCACGTTACTGCTTGGCGTCAGAAATAGGTAAGGTACTTCCCTGGACGAAGTCCTTCACAAGGAGCTCTACTACAAATCTAACCAGAAAATCCCGAACCTGAATCTATTTAGAAAAGTTCATTCTCAAAATTGATTCTACCGGAAATTTAACCAGGGCAAATTTAATCTCATCTAGCACCAACATACAGCAATTTATTCTGCAAATCCTAAGTCCTGTCCTATCCTGCCAAGGCCAATTTGTCAAAAAAGTCACAAAGATCTGATGGGCACTGCGCCCGTCACCTTGAGACATTAGTCCTATGTATCTGTAATTTCACCATCACCCTTACCCTTCAAAACTGAAACGCAGTAATGTTCACATTACTGCTTGGTGGTAGCTCTGGACGAGCTCTTTCACAAAGAGCTCTACTGTTACTAAATTATGCCAAGAAGCATTATGTCAAAAAAAAGATATGTTAATATGAAGGCCCTCATTGTCTGTTAAAAATCACCACGGGAATGTGTATGTGCTTTTTGGACTCTACAACAGCTTCTACAACTAAAATTAATTCTTAGGTGGTTCCTGGGCGCCAGCACCAGACGACGTGCATCCTTACTTCAAAGTGACCTTACCGCGACGCGAACCCATTTATGGCGTAATCATTCAGGGCAGTCCACTTTTCGACCAGTACATTACCAGCTATAATATTATGTACGGAGACGACGATTTTACGATGTCTACTCTTAATGGGCCGGATGACAAGCCAAAGGTAACTATTGCTTAATAATGGTCTATTTTTGTGTTAAAAAAAAGCGCGCTTATGACCTCTACCTCGCATGACAAAAAGCGACGATGAGCTCGACGATGAAATGGCCCAAGTTATGACATTCAAGCACAGATTACTTAATAGTTACTATACTACAAAGATTTAGGCAATTTACTAAATATAAACAAACCGTTATGAAGCATTACCTGGTTGTTTATTGTAAAATTATAATGAACTTTTTGAAAGTGGTTCGAAATATATGATAATTTTCAGGTAATAGACAACATTTCGAACTACCTATTTAAATAGTAATAGATATAATATTTAAATAAACATGTTTAATAACATGTATCACAACTGTCCTACTATAAAGAAACTAAAATCCAGCCTTTAAAAAGATGACAGCTAATACCATGCGACCAAATTAAAGAGTACAACAGTAATACGATGTATGATACTCACTACTAATTATTGTATTTGACCGGCTAACCGAGTGGCAGCTGAATATTGTTTACTTTCAGCTAATTACCTAAACTTTTATGCTATAGGTACGTGACAGATATATCACCATGTGATCTGTGATCACTCTCATACAAAATCGAAATAGCCTACTAAATCTGACTAATGACACCAGGCGCTTACTATGAGGAAAAAGAACCCTAAGCACGTGCTCAAAAAGGTGAAAATAACGTTGCCTGCCGAATGCAGTCGTACGGAGCCGAATGCTCATTAATGAAAAACTTTGGTTGAGCGCTGGTTAAGAGAATAAGTCTGGAGGCAGGGATTTCCACTCCATAGCCGTTCGTTTGTGCTGTATTCCGTATCGATGGCTCACTTGAATACAAGATGGCTGACTACAGTACGTCCACCCTCGTTGACCTCTCTCTACCAATTGACCAACAGGTTGATAGCACCTATAGTAATTCGGACAACTTTTAAAGGTTTTTAAAATTAACCATAATGGATATATGCAGTAAAGAACTTTTCATGCTCTAGTGTATCCTTTAATCCCTAGGGAATAAAAAGTATTTTTTAACTCATATAGTCAGTCTCGGTTTTAGTTCCGTGGCTTATCCGTATAGACGGTGGCGCCATATTATTTTCCCGCCTTAGTGCGTTTGTCTGTGTGTGGTTGAAAAAAAATGCTGCGAAATCTTCAGAATTTTATTGTAGAGTAAAAACGATTGATTTTTTTTCTCGCAATCGAAGTGACAAAAGGCAATAAAAATCCTCGGATATATATTGGCTCGTTTTAGTTCATCGATAAAAAATATTCTATTATTAAATAAAACTTTTCTTAAACAATTTAAAAAATGCCGCGCGAACTGTATTACGTGTCCCTCAAAACTCGTGACGTCATTGATAGGTAAATAAAATAGATAATATGCACTGTCCACAATCAACATTTTTGCAATTTTTCGTTCAACACCGATTAATCGGAGAAAAAACACATCATTATTATGATGTGTTTTTTCACGAAGGGTGAATGCGGTGACGTTTCTTTGCTTACCTACATATGATGTCACGTAGTATGTTTGGTGTTTGCATAACATTAAAAGTATTTCAGTATCCTGGTTTTGATGATTGATTTTGAAATATAAATCATTATTTAGCAAAAATATTGATGATTGATCGTTTTTATTATAAAAACATTATTTTAACCACGTTTTTTTTTCTGAGTATTTTTCGATTGCTCTGTGCTTGTGAATCAATGTATTATATCTACTAATTTACACTACAAATTCCACTGACAGTAACAAATTTTTTAAGGTTTAATATTAACACACATTCAATTGAAATTCACTATTCATTGCCACGTAAATAATTTGTAAATATGACACTCGTAGGTATTCCGGGGCCCAGTAAACAGCAGGACACATATGAAGCAGATGCTGGAGCCACCAATCGAGGCCAAAGTGGTGAAAATCAATCCGCTGACGTGGAACCAGGAGCCTGCACTGAGACTTGAAATCATTGGATGTAGAGAAGTTACAGAGACCCCCACTACCACTGTGAGTTACCTTACCCTCTATCCACATAAAGTATGGTATTTTGACAATATTAGGAAAGTCAAGTCAGTGGCATGTATACTTTTTACCATTTCTAGCGTTTAACCAAAGGCATCCAAACGGTATTAGTCATATGAACGACTTTATTTCTCCCGTAGATTTAAGATCTCGACTCTTACTAGTGTAATACGTGCCACTCTACGACCAGTGTCATATATGAGATACAAGGCTCGGTCTACATGAATTTTACTGTAGAAATAAAAAAGAGTACAGCCCCCGTAGCATGGCTACGCATTATGGCGACGCGCTATAAAATTGAAATAATCGCGCGCTATTGGCTATCAAATTAGATCTGATTGAGACAGCCAATAGCGCGCGTTTATTCCAATTTTATCGCGCGTGTCGCGACTATGATGCGTAGCCATGCTCCCGCAGCAGGAAGGGAAAAGTGCAGGTAAAGTAAAGGCGTATGGGCTGTAATAAAATATAACGATATAAAACAATCGTATAAAAACACTTCCTATTTAAATTAAATATAATTCAACTTTTCATCGCCACTCTCTACACGTGCTCGGCTTCACATACAATTCTGAGCAGTTAAATCATGTACTGTAACTGCTTGTAAAGTAATAAATTTGTAGTACCATTGAAAATCATGTATCATAACTGCTTATAACGCATAGTATTTCTCTCATAGAAATTACAGGCCCTTTTAGGGCAAGTGACTATTTACCATAACCCGTATTTAATTTAAGTAGGGAGTGTTTTTATACGACTGTACCTGTTTTTATATCATTATCTTTTGTTACAGAATTTACACCTTTCTTTATCTGTTATTTTCCCTTCATGTCTCTCTTTATTTCTACAATAAAATTAATGTGTACTGAGGTTTGGTATCTAATTACGCATGACAACTTTATGCTCGGTTCAGCTATTCGTTTGACCTCGTTAGGGAGACATCACACTTATTATCGGCTTGAGTCGATCACAAGAAGTGAATAAATATGATGAGACCTGACCGGTCAGTGCAAGCTGACCGAAACATAGGGAAAATAAGTAGGCGTGAATAACGCTTTTATTCCTGTTTCCAAATGTTAGTACCTACAACGCAACGCGAAAGTTTAAAACTATATATTATGCTACTTGTGTACATACTGCCCTATATTTATAATTAAAATCGTCATTCCAGGCGCAACCCTTGCAATGTACGGACATTATAGGTCTAGAAGCGGGCCTACCAGTTGAAAATATCGAAGTAAGCTCCCATAACGAACTGAGGCAACAACTGGCGCTTGGCAGCGACGAAGGCTGGCGCCCGTTATACAGCACGCCCGGAGAATGGATTATGGTATGATACCTTATTCACCTATAGTCTGTCTTTTTTGAAGATGGAGTAAAATAACAGTTCTTTGCGCAAAAGTGTTGCCCGCTTGCAAGCAGCTAGTGATTGCAGTCGATAAATATTATATCGACTATCAACTGAACGTAGGTTACGTTTATGAAATAAATAGATGAAATTGTTTCATTTGATTCATCATCGACTCATTACTTTATACATCCAACAGCAGAGCACGCTTCATTTGAATTGTTTACTTTTTGAAAATTCTATGGCGCTACGGCCAAAAGTCGACTGAACGATTTGGATTCAAATCCTATGCAAATTTTACTTCTTTTCCCAGTTCGACTTTACATCACCGCGCAACATAACAGGCGTCAAAACCAAAGGCGGTACTAGAGGTTGGGTGAATACGTACAAAATTATGTACACCTCGGATCTGTCCAACTTTAACCCTGTGATCGACTCAAGTGGCGCACCCAAGGAGTTCCCTGGCAATTTTGATAAAACCACCGAAGTCATGAATGAGTTTCGGCCACCGATACATGCGCGGTATTTCAAAGTTTTGCCATTGAAATGGAACGGTAATATTGAGATGAAGATTGAGCCAATTGGATGTTTCATGCCTTACCGTGAGTACAGACTGTAGGTCTCCTTTATTTTACTAAAGCCTTCTTGAAATATGATTTTTAGACATTTGTTTTTTTGTACGACTGGGCCTTCTACTTTGTAAAAGTCGTCAAGAGCCATTATATGAATTTGGTCCAAAGGCCAAGTCCTAGTCGTAATTAGGAATCGATACTACCTCAGTTCAAATTTCAATTTTTCCCGCACTAATACGATTCATTTTGCTTGGGTCTGACTTTAATTCAGATTTTTTCTTTCAAAATGTATATCGCATACTATACGTGTTATAATTTACTTCAGCTGATATAAATAACATCATTAGCATACTATTATGCAAAGTACCTATTGAATACAGCGGTTAAAAAAAAAACAAATATTCGCGATTCAGATGCGAAAAAAAAATAGTTTCATTTTCAATGTGTAGCAATCAGAGTTGAGTAAGCGCCTGGGTTTTAATCGAGTTGAAACCCATTAAAGCCCGAAATTGGGGGCAAAAAGTATTTACAATTAATTATTTGTTCTAAGTCGAGTTTTGTTCAAATTTAATGATAGTATTAAAAAATGCTTATTGCTTTTTTATCTAGACGATTAGTTTTGCCTTTCTATTGAATCGATTCGTTTGAAAACCGCATTGAAATAAATCGATACAAAAAAATCGTTAGATCGTATGTATTTGAATCAATCTTCATGAAATTGAATCGTAATAAGCATCCTTAGTAATGAGAATCCACGAGATTACAAGGTGGGTATTATATGGAGGTGGACAAGGTACATTATACTCGAACTGCCTCCGTGGCCGAACGGTTACCATGCCGGACTGCCACGCAGAGATCCCAGGTTCGATTCCCGGGCCGGTAGAAATATATGTATGGCCTACATTTATTTCTCTCGTGAGTTTGGGTGTAATTTGTGGTTGTGTTGAGTGTGTGCGAGTGTGTGCGTTATACTAAATTCCGAATTCGCCGTTTCTGCCAACGATTTTAGTCAGAAATTGGTTAAAACTCGCGCTTTGGATAAAAACCCGGGTGGGTTGATTGGGTTTTTACCCACTTCTGGTAGCAATCGCAAAAGCCTAAGAACTCGACATTATCGCTTTACCAACTAATAATTGCTCCAGCAATATCAACGACGATACAACCTCCACTGTCTACTCCTGGCATATGCAAGAAATGCCCTGGCGTAGCCACCGAAACATGCGACTGCAACTCCGTCACGGGAAAATACTTCGACGGCGAGCGCTGCGTGACACGCGACGAGTGTCCTTGTATACACAATTCCATGCCGTGAGTACTTGTTAACACATTCGCAGTAGAGCTCCTTGTGAAAGAGTTCGTCCAGGGAAGTACTGCCATCTTACCCGTAGTAGTCCCATGTGCCTGTGATTTCACCAGCACCCTTACCCTTCAAAACCGGAACGCAGTGATGCTCATACTACTGCTTGGCGGCAGGTAAGGCAGTAAGTACTGCAGTCCAGGTAAGTAAAATAAAAAATAAATCTTTCACAAAGAATTCTACTGCTACGATTATTTTATTTTATTATTATGTGTGTGTGTTTGTGTGTGTATTTATTACCATCATAATAATTATTGTGATTCTGCAGGTACCCTGTAGGAGCAACATTCCGTGGTACAAACTGCGACGATTGTGTGTGCAAGCTTGGCGGCATATCAGACTGCAAACCGATTAAGGAATGCAAATGCGCGAGTGTAAGTTGGTAAATTATAATATTAACATTATTTTTAATAGTTAAGGTTCACAAACTCTCTTGACATATATTAACAATAAATACACTCATACTGTGACTAGTTTAGGAAGGGTTTTAAATATTCCTTTATAATTAATTAATACAACCATAGTTCTATAAATCAAGAGGATGGTAATCGCGATACAAGATGGCGTAGTCGGGTATTTAGTACCTGTTGGTACACCAGATGTCGCCACGAGTACCAAATAGCTATTTTTGTAACTTATTTGTTTTATATTGACAAGCTGCGATTTATCAAAGCTAAACTTATTTCTATTATATTATTGATTTTTATGGATAGTGCCGGCTATTTTTTTTCAATTTGTTTAGGATTAGCGCCATCTACCACTATTAGAAAGCGTTACTTGCAAATTACTTTGTAACGCACAACGCCATCTATTGACACGTATTTTTGTTAAAGTTTAGAAAATAATTTTAGTTTTGTAGATTTTTAATAAGTCTCGGCAATATAGAGACTTAGGCTGTCTTTCTACCAGAGATGTGCGAGGTAGCTAGGTGGTGAGAGGATATGCAGCGGCGTCTTGCGGGGATGCGTTAGGGACTATTATAGTGGTGGGTGAACGGTGGCGATGTGTCAGTGTCAGTTAGTGTTATAATTTCAGTAGCTCTAGTTTCCTACACCGTTTTGCACACATTCCTCGCACACATTTCTCGCTATCTATCCACCGGAGCTACGCTAAGCGAGACCAGGAAAATGAGGTAATCCTATTGATGGATTTTTTCGTTGCACACCGCCTCACTACGTCGCACATCTCTTGTGGAAAGGCAGCGTAAGGGTGCCTTTCCACCAGAGATATGTGAGGTAGCTAGGCGGTGCGAGGATGCGTTACGGACTTACGGACTCTTTTCAGCTATGCGCGAGCGAAGTGCGGTGTGGTAGGATGAGCAATGGCGATGTGTCAGTGTTAGTTAGTGTCACACTTTCAGTAGTTCTAGTTTCCTACACCGTTTTGCACTCAATCCTCGCCCGCATCCCTCGCACACATCTCTCGCTATTTTATTTTATATGTACAAATACTTAGCTCCGCTAACCCTTTTCCACCGGAGCTGCGCTAAGCGAGGCTAGAAAAATGAAGTAATCCTATTGGTGGATTTTTTCCTCGCACGCCGCCTCGCTTCGTCGCACATCTCTGGTGGAAAGGCAACCTTAGGGTCGAAACACAAAACGGCGATGCGACGTCGCACTACATTTATTTCTCTCGTGAGTTTGGGTGTAATTTGTGGTTGTCTATATGTTTGTCCATGGCACCCGCGATACAGAGTTTCCCTAGTGCGAGGCTATGTTGAGTGTGTGCGTTATTATTATTCATACTCTTTTTACGATCCATGTCGCTACCTAGTTTAAAAAATACGTTCGGTACGATTAACGATCGTCGAAGGAATTGTGACCCGAACCGTGGCAGTGAGATGCTTTCGTCAAGAAACTCTAGAATTTTTGAAACCGAGTTTCCCAGGGCGAAAGTCCTAGCCAATGTTAACAATTTACAGGATCTGGTCCCGAAACTGGTGACAGCAACGTGTGAATGCGTTTGCACGCCATGCCCCGAAAACACTCGCATTTGTCCTACAAGCAAAATATGTTTACCACTTGAACGCTGGTGCGATGGCCTTCAAGACTGTTCCGATGACGAGCAAGATTGTACCAGTACCACAACAGCTACTCCATTCACGACTCCACCAGCGGTGACAACAACAGTGGAACCAACACAGACGTCTGTTAAAACATACACTAATAATGTTGTTGCCACTACTTTCACTCCCGTTACCACACCTAAACGTAAGTCTATAAGTGTTTTGTTAAGCTTATTGAAAATTACTATGTTTTACTACCATAATATTATAGTTATTCACGAGACAAGTGAAAATGACAAATCCGCACGTGTATCAAACGACGTTTTTTAATACATTTACGAAAAAACTACATTGAAAGTAAAATAAAACATTAAAAAAATTTCATTTTTTGGCCGGCTTTTTTCAATATGGCAACTGTTGCCAGTATTCAGCCACATTAAAATTACTATTTTAGTGGAGCGGCGGTCTCGCGTAATACTCACCTCCGGTCATTGTTAATACTCAATCAGCCATCTTTATGGAAAATATTTTGGAATTTTGAAATGTAACTCGTTGTTTTATAAAACACCTATGCAATTTAAACAAATACGATGTTTGTAAGTAAATATAAGTTTTAATGACGAATGACTTACGTCACAAAGGACGTAAATATTAAATAAATGTACAACCTCTTTAGTTCTATGTTCAAAACTTGAAACAACAGTAAATTTAAAAAAATTGGATAAGTAAAAAGCACTAGTGCGAAAAATCCAACTTTCGGCACAATTTGTAGTACGAAACATAAAACGTTTTGAGCAACTGTATTAAAAAATTATTTTTGTGATATTACTCCACTAGTTTGTTATGATAATTATTAATAAATACGGATATGACAACTGCCTCTGTGGCCCATCAGTTACCATGCTGGATAGCCATGCAGAGGCCTCGGGTTCGATTCCCGGGCCGGTAGAAATATTTGTATGGTCTACATTTATTATTAGAGTTTGGGTGTAACTTATGGTTGTCTGCGTGTGTGTGTGCGTGCGTGCGTACGTGCGAGCGTGCGTGTGTGTCCATGGCACCCGCGATACAGGGGTTCCCTACTGCGGGGCTACGAATATCTAAAAAAGTATAAGGATCGAACGCAAAGAAAATATCTTTCTATCCGGCTGATCTCGAACCAGCAACCTGGCCATAACGTAGCTGACGCTCTCCCAACTGAGCTGCGGAACGTACCAGCAGACTTTACGAATTTCTCTATATTGCATGTCTTTGTATTATTTTTTAAATTTGTAAATATAAGATCCTTGATTAGTAATTAAAATTGGTTAAGAAATGAATAATAATTTTAACCATTTCATTCTCACCCTTTGTCGGATAAGGTCACATTTGCAAAATGACAACTTCAGAGGAGAGAGATTTGAAAATTCGACGATCGAAATTACTCAATAACATTTTTATGCTTAACTAGGAGAATTATAAAATTTCACATAGTTGAAGAATAAAGTCTTTATTTATTTTTATTTAAATTAACTGCCTTAATTCCGATCAATGACGATCACACGTGACTTCATTATACCAACGATATAAATTTCATATCAATTTTTGGGTCCTCCGGCAGTGGCCTGTTTCGGTCACGTTTTGACCACATTTCAGAACTTTAAAACGCTCCCCTGTAAACTTGGCAATTTCGACATACGATCCTTTTCGTAGGAGGGGTCGATTTGTCTTTATACGTTTATCATTGACTTACAATTATACGTTTATTTCATAATTTTCTTTTGTCTCCAGCAAGCGAATGTCCAAAAGAAGAATGTGCACCTGGCTACTTACTGGTATACACTAACTCTGCTACATCTATATCCGGGAACGAGCTACCTCCACCACGCCCTCGCTACTCCTACTCGCGTTACGGACCCCGAAACGGCGGCTACACGGGAACGAAAAGCGTTTACACAAAGAGCGTATACTCTAAAGGGGGATACAGTGGCTCTAAAGGTGGTTCTGGATATGGTAAGATATAACAGTTTAGCTCTCCACTCTAGTAGCAGTAGAGCTCCGTATGAAAGCGTTCGTTCAGGGAAGTACTAATACCTTACGTATTTCTGCCGCCAAGCATTAATGTGAGCATTACTGCGTTCCGGTTTTGAAGGGTAAGACTCTTGGTGAAATTACATGCATATGGGATTTGTCTACTTATGTTTCAAGGTGACGTGTGCAGTGGTAGTGCCCCTCAGATCTTTGCGATTTAAAGTTTTGAGTGATACTGCAACTGTTACGAATAGGCGTGTCGCTTACTTTCGCCTTAAACAGGCCCAAGTTATAACGTTCAGGGAACAAGTCTGCTGGCAGGGATTTTACTGCCACTTACTATTCATATACTTGATGGGCTTTTATAATATTTTTCCTTTGTGCTATTTAAAGTGTGTTTTTATAAAATTTTCAAACAAAATATTGAAAATAGTTTGTGGTACCTATCTATTTGTCGTTCGTTATTGGTGCAAATATTTCTATAGTCTGTCTTTTTGAGGACGGAGTTTAATATCATTTGTAGGGTTGCCAGTTTTCATAAAATTTTAAATAATTATTTATTTATTTAAACACTTAATTGTACCACAAAGTAAATTACAAATTTCCAGAAACAAATTAAATATTTGTGTACAAAGACGACCTTATCCCATATAGAGATTTCTTCCAACTAACCTTTGAAAATCTGAGAGGAAATTTAGTTTTCAGGGTGGCAATAAAAGTAGACAAATAAAGAAATGGAATATACTATACTCAATAAATACACACAGATAAATTTATTATATCAAATGTACTACGAATACATATATATTACGTAATGTTGATACATTAATAATAGGGGTTAAAGTATGAAATTGCCGATTTGTACTGAAAATCTAAATTGTTTATTTTTTAAATTTTTAACAAATTTATTTAATCAAAATAGTTGCCATTATTATCTATACATTGCTGCCATCTAATGGGAAGGTTATTAATGCCTTTGCGATAGAACTCCGACGATCTAGACTGCACAAACTGTGTGAAAGCATTTTGTACTGCCTCCTGGGAAGAAAACTTCTTGTCACGTAGATAATTGTCCAAATCACGAAAAAAATGGTAGTCCGTTGGAGCAAGGTCTGGTGAATACGGAGGATGACGAATGGTTTCTAACTGCAGTTCCTGAAGGGTCAAAATGGTTTCTCGTGCTGTGTGAGGTCTCGCGTTGTCGTGGAGCAATAATGGTGAAGATCGATTCATGAGTCGGGGCTGTTTTACTGCTAGTTTTGTCAACATGGTTCGGAGTTCGGCACAATAGACATCTGCCGTTATTGCTTGACCAGATCGGAGAAAACTATAGTGAATAACACCATGCTGAGACCACCAAACAGTTACCATTACCTTTTTATTAGTAAGTTTTGCTTTAGGACACTGTTGTGGCATTTGACCTGGGGTCAGCCATTGCATTTTTCTTTTCCGGTTATCATAAAGAATCCACTTTTCATCACATGTTACAATTCGATCCAATATTCCTTCATTTCTGTACCGGTTCAACAAGGCAACACAAGTTTCAACACGCGTTTCTTTCTGCTGATCAGTCAAATCATGAGGCACCCATTTTTCGTATTTTTTTATTTTATTGATTTGACGCAAGTGAGTCAATATTGTGGGTAAGGTAACGTTAAACCATGCCGCTAATTCCTGGGTAGTTTGACTAGGATCGGCTTCCACTATCTCTCTTAATTCATCGTTATTCACCTGTGTGGGCGGTCTTCCTCGTGGCTCGTTCTTTAAGTCGAAATTTCCATCACGAAAGCGTTTAAACCAAAATCGCACGGTGCGTTCATTAGTAGACCCCTCTCCAAACGCAGCATTGATATTGCGGGCTGTTTCTGCCGCGTTAGTTCCGCGTCGGAACTCGTATTCAAAAATCACTCGAAATTTCGCAGTATCCATCTTTCTTGTCTAAATTGAATAACAAAAACAATTGAAAGTCGATATTCAAATGTTACAAATTTAAAAAAAAAAATCACAGAAACCATTTGAAAAAAGTTTCATTCGAAAACCTCAAACCATGAAGATTCTATGAAAATTCAAAGAACCTATTGCAATAAAACGGCAATTTCATACTTTAACCCCTAATACATACAAAATCTATAATAAAATTAATGCATAAAATAAAACTATAAATAAATATATCAAATGTAAATAAATTGTGGAGTCTGAATAATCCCAAAACTTCAAGAGACTACACGTACGGGCAGCGTTTACTGTGAACGAGTTCGAATATTTTTGAGAACTGTGTTGTGGAATGACGAGAGACAAATTGATGCCAGAACGCAGGCGGTCACCCATAGCCTGACGGTAATGAAAACGCTCACATAGATAGTTATGTAATTGATGTCTATAGTTTTATCGATAGATTGTAAAAGAATATAAAAATTTTGCTAAAAATAACTAAACTGTGAATGTTACGACGTCCTAGTGATTACTAGTTGCGTTAACGCCGCCTTTATTCTTATTTTGACAGTTGGCCTACTAATATCGAAATCAATTTTTATTCATATATGTACTTTTTAACAAAAGTAGCCGGATTTGATTATCTATATTGAATTAAAATGAAAAACTTTAAAATATGGCTCCACTTTGTATTTTTCATAACCATAGTTCTAAATACAGTGTATGTATGTATGAACTTACAAAAATTGACAATTGAAGTTAACTGTGGTCAGTAAAAAAAGTGCTCGTCCCCTCCTCTTCGACTCCGTCTTAAAAAAAGACAGACTATAGTGCATCATTATTATAATGCTAATTAAAATAATAATTATTTTAGGAACAGTGACCCCAACGCCATCGACAAACCAAGCGTTCACAGTGGTTAAGCCAACTCTGACAAACACAATCAGTTCAACCGAGCCGCAGTGCCGTAAGTTCAAGTGCGTGCCCCCGCCACCCTCACCGTACAAACCGCCAACACCTTGCCGCCCGCCGGCCTGTCCGCCGTACTACACGCTGAAGCCTGACACCACGCCTGTCGCTATTGGAGAATGTCCGCAGTGAGTATAACTAGATAAACAGCCACGTTGACTCAAAACGACTCCTTCTGAACTTGAAAAACAAAATCACCGCCAAAGATCAGATAAAGTTGAACGAGTTCGTTCACGAAAAAAAAAAAAACAATGGAAATGTTTTAACCTCGATTACTATCAGAAACGCTCTGGCTAAAACTGACATCGATAATTTGAAACTCTAGTGATTGGTCGTAGTTTCTAAATGAAAAAGAAATAACAAATTCTGGACTGTTAATTTAATTTCAAACTTTCCCTGTTGGCATATCGTTGAAAGTACAATACCTGTTATTGCAAGTTACGTCGTTTTGATTTTATATTGAAATTTCAATCAATGTGCTGCCATCTAGCTGTCTATAGCTGAACAACAAGGAATTCAAGATGTTTACTTAGTTCTCCAAAAAGGAGCGACCATATTGCAGCGTTATAAGGTTGAATGCTGGTGAATTGTGATTACAGGCACATGGGACTTGTCAACAACTTATGTCTCAGGGTGGTTGGCGCAATTGCAAAGCCCCTCAGATCTTTGTGATTTAAGGCTCTGAGTGGCACTGCCACTGTTATAGACAGGCATGTTGCTTACCACCAGGCGCACGACTTGTTCGTCCCGTTATTTGTTATCATAAAATAAACAACCCTAACGAAGTGTAGGCATTTACGCGCCGAACAGGCTGAAGTTGCCCTACTTGCCCTTATTAAACTATCCTAATAGCTCGTTTAACTGGTCCGATTGGAAAAAGTCCCGAAGTCGCGACTTCGATTGTTTACTGACATTTTATAATTACCTTTGTGTGTAGGTACTTGTGCGTCCCACCATCGGAACAAATCGCGTACTGCAACGTGACAGGCAGGACAATAAATTCATTTGACGGATCCGGGTACAAGTTGGACCTCTGCTTCCATATGTTGGCCAGGGAAAACCGGTTCAACGCGTGGAGCATTTTCCGTAAGTAATTAAACATTTATTATTAATTTGTTAGAAGAATGAGTTACTCGGATATCTGGTGGTCACTCACGACGCATAGATTTTCTCATCATACTTTTAATATTTCTGTTAAATATACAGTATCACATGAAAAGTTGCTGTCATCGTATCAATGTTTTTCAAGGCCCCAATTTTGTTAATTTTCTTTCTAAAGCCACTGGTCATTGTAATTCCCTTGAGTATCCACTGAGATCATATTGCAAATTATAACAATATTTGTTATTCTGCTCAAATCAAATTGCAATGGCAGTTGGGTCTCAATAGAGTAAAGGTGGATTCACAATGTTCAAATTTTGGCCATATATTGCCGCAATTTATGGCGTTGCGCGACATGACCTTAAGTTGACCAAGCAGGAACTGCTACGACAGCTCTTGTAAAGTTGGATATTTCATTCTTAAATAATCCGTTTTAAACTTACTTACTTTAGCCTGTTTTCAGAATTTTATGTGGTCATGTAAAGTACATCTTACCATGGAACACCTTAGCACATTCTTTAGGCAATATGCTTAGATGTATCGTATTTTATATCCCCGGCCGGGTCAGTGTAGAAAACTAACTTTTCTATATTGTCTCGGGTCTGGGTGTTTGTGGTACCGTCGTTGTTTTCGAATTCCATAACACGAGTGATTTAACTACTTTGGGATCAGAGTAACGTATTTGATGTTGTCTAATATTTATTTATTACGACCCTTCCTACGTAAAGTATCGTATGGCGAAATTGCCAAATTTACATGGGAGCATTTTACAGTTTTGAATTCACTGAATTGAGCATAACATGTGACTTTAGCATTTCTCAGTTTTATTCGTCAAAGCTCGTTACTCACAAAGAGTATTGTAAAATCCTAGATGTCGGTTAGATGAACAACCACAATTTGTTTTATAAGTTTATACTGGTACCCGACCCGCCCAGTCTCACTTTAGTTCATCCGCTTGTTGACCCATATCTGCTTTGGTAAAAAATAGGTTGTGGTTGTTTATCTAACCGATATCTAGGATTTTATAATACTCTATGTGAGCAACGAGCTTTAGTCACGTGTTATGCACATTTCAGAGAATTTAAAACGCTCCCCTGTAAACTTGGCAATATCGACATACGATACTTTACGTTGTAGGCATTAGTTTTTCCCGCGTCTCCTCCAGTGACTCGCCTTAATGTTTAACGTGTATTACTGCTTCCAACAGTCCACAAAATCTGCACACCAAACGGATGCCACAACGAACTCATTTTAATGCAAGACACAGAACTCATAATAGTGAAACCAAACCTGTCAATAATGTACAACGGCTACCTGTACAACATTGATCAAATGAGCATGATCTGTTTCCAAAAGAACATGTTCGATGTCGTCAAGATCGGCAATGGGCTAGCCATTAAATCTAGAAAACATAATTTCGTTGTTTTCTACACTGATGATGGCGATGTTAAGATAGGGGTAAGAATTTCGTTTGTACAGGGTCAAGAGCACGCCAAGTTTGACTAAAGGTTTAAATTTAACTCTATGCCGCTTGCAATGAGAACAGTCCAAAGTGTCAAACTTGATGTGCTCTTGACTGTACGCTTTATCACAAAATACTGCAATAGTATTTTATATTGCAATATTTTATATTTATTAATATCGATGCCTAAACTTTCTCAAACTCGTATATTATAAAGAGTGATTATTCGAGAGATGACAAAACTGTCTATTTATTTCATTGACTTACAATTATATGGACGTCGGGTCCGCGCTAAAAAGTGTCCGCACTTGTAAGGCGCTAAAATCGTATACAGAGCGCGACACTCCGCTTTAGTCTTCATTTGTCCTACTGACAGCGCGATACTGCGATGACATTACAATTTAAATTTCGAATAGGTTGACTTGGGACATTTTTTTCGTGGTTTTTGTATTAGACCCGTCGTCCATTTATTTGTAAGTCAATGATTTATTTTAAATTTCTTATCGAGGGTGTTAATTTGAATGCATTACTTTAAGAATAAGTAAAAGCCAGTGTGTGAATATGAAGGAAATGTGACGTGAAATCAGCCTGCAAAAGTATATACAATCCATTTTTTGCATTTCAGTAAGTTTGTCCTTTAAGATACGAGTTTGAGAAAGTAAAGCGACGATATGTCAAATGTTAACGCATTTAGGCCTAAATAAAAAGCTTTACCACCGTAATTAAGGCAATTATGTAAATATATGTTTTAAACCAGGACTTGCAATGTAAAAAACAAAACGTCGGTTTGTTTGAAAAAACATATACAGGGTTAAAGGTTAAGTCGACCTGAATCCTTTAAGGGGTAACAGTTTGCATCATTTCTGACTAATTTCACTATGAAACACCATACCCCAAACTGAACCGTTCTCATGTTATAGGACTTTGAAGTTTTTTTTTTTAAAAGTCCAATTTTTTTCCTAATGTCCCATTTTTTGAGTCTTGTACTTGTAAAAAATAGCAATTAATTAATTTTTTAAATAATAAATCGTCTACTACGGCGCAGTTGGTACAATTACTTGCAAATTTGGTATTTTGAGTAATAAATCTATTAATCTACTACACAAAAATACCAAAAACAAAATGATAACAAGCACAAGACACAAAAAATGGGACATTAGGAAAAAAATTGGACTTTTAAAAAAAAACTTCAAAGTCCTATAACATGAGAATGGTTCAGTTTGGGGTATGGTGTTTCATAGTGAAATTAGTCAGAAAAGATGCAAACTGTTACCCCTTAAAGGATTCAGGTCGACTTAACCTTTAACCCTGTATACGCGATTTAAATACGGAAAAATAGTTTCATTTCCTACGTGTAATAATCGCGAAAGCCTAAGAACTCGATATGTAAAAAACACTCTTAAGACATTGTGTTAAGATAATCTTATCAATTTAAGCATTAGTTATACGTATTGGTTGGACGTACATGTACTTAAGTTTAGTTGCAAGTGGACAGAAGTCTAGGTTTATTCAATAAGTGATTATCACTCATTATAGGTTTCTTACCACGGTATGCGTTATTTTTATTTTCCCGATATTTCGAACGGTTACACGCTTTGTGTTTACGTGTTGACTCCCAAGCGGAAGATGATAGATTTAAGACATACTGTCTGCCCTCTTTCATCTCGATTACTTGTGCCACAACTGTTTTTCTACGAAACACACCCACTGTATCCACACTTGAAACTGAAGTCGAAGCATTTTTTTTGGTAAGGTGGTAACACATCGTGGCACAGATTACTTAATAGTTACTACGTAACAGATACATCACTACCATACATAATCTCGGTACAGAATACTAAAAAAACCGACCTCAAAAGTCATTCATCCCCGAGGTTGCCACCCTTAAGTTGGAATATTTTTTTCAAGTTTACACGGAACCACTACTGAGATACCCTCTTTCCAACAAAAAAAGAATCATCAAAATCGGTTCACAAATTTGTTATCGCGTTGAGATCGGAATTGAGAATCTCCTTTTTTAAAAATCGGTTAAAAATCGAAATATAATAGCCTACAATCTAGCTAATGACACCAGGCGCTCACTACGAGGAAAAAGGAGCCAGAGTACGCGCTCAGAGAGGTGAAAATAACATCGCCCGCCGTGTGCAGTCGTGCGGAACCGAATTTTAGGGTTATACAAGGATTGTAATGTAAATAAAAGACTTGTCTGAGCGCTTGCACTGTCGCCGATACTCTCAGCGAGTGACGGAGCTCTGGCTTAAACAAGAAACCTGTAATTAGGGATAATCATTATAATAAAGGCTCGTTTCCTAGAAGTAAAGCGATCTCAACCAATCGCGCTACCGTAGTTTACCAGCCACGAAGAGTATCTTTATGCAGGAATTAACATCCGTGATATTTTCGTGCAGATAAGTAAAAACTACGTGGGTGCCGTTGACGGCATATGTGGCGCGTTCGACGGCAATCCGGCGAACGACCGCCGTTTGCCCGACGGGCGCCTGGTCCCCACACTGGACGAGTTTGCACAGGGTTGGGCCAAGCCTGGCATGTCTCCCAACGCTTGTGCTCCACCACCGCCACGTGATAAGCCAAAAGTCTGGGAACTTTGCGACGTCATCACGTAAGTTTCTGTACATTTATTCCTTCAAAATTATACTCAATGGTAATAACAATAACATGGTAATAACGTTTACACTCATAGCCCCGCACTAAGGAAACCCTGTGTTGTGGGTGCCATGGACACACACATACCAATAATTACATCTAAATTCACGGGAGAAATAGATGTAGGCCACACAAATATTTCTCCCAGCGCGGGAATCGAATATTTAATATTTCCGTCTAAGGTAACTGCGATGCGGGTGGCGTCTTGCGCGGCTTGATCAAAATGCCTAAATTTTTTGCATATATGCTGTTCTCGACGGCAGCGGCACGGGCGGCGGTACACAAGCGGTGAATGCGCGTTCGAATATAGTGTCGTCTTGTTGCTTACCCATACCTGTTTTTCGATCAATCAAATTAAGAGATATCGTTGAGGGAAATAATTTCAGGAGTTTTAGAAAGACCACCAGGAACAACAAATATGGACCATACAAATAGATGCATTATTCATCACTATAAAGAGAAGAATAGAGATACTATTCGTTAATTCTGGCTTGATATTTGCAAAAATATAGTGAAACGTTTCCACGATCATCCTAACGTCTGTCATAGAACTTGTACGGATTTTGTCTTTAGTCATCGTAATTTCGTCGAAACTCGCCTTTTTGCTTTCTTTGTTTGTAGTACGGGTTCACGTCTTCCGGCGCCCAAAATAACTCATACTGAATAAAATAATTGGGTACTATAAGGTCACGTAACAATATCGACATCGCGCTCACAGTCTCGTTACGTCACTTTACAGTCGTAAACTACGCGATTTGGTTGCTGGCGTCGAGAACATGCCACTTTAGGCCCGCTGTCGTCCAGTTTGTGGCCTTACTGTATTACGGTTTTCCGGTTAGGTCTAAGACTGACGGGAGAAGTGGCAGTGCCCCTCAGATCTTTGCAGTTTAAAGCTCTGAATGGCACTGCATCTGCTATGAACTGGAGTATCGCTTACCACACAACTTATTCGTCCCGCGTCTCTTGGTTTCGTAAAAAAATGATGATATTTAATGAAAATAAATTTTACTAGTAGCATTATATATTATGATTGAAACAGATTTCCTTTGAGAGTTCTTTGTAGACAACTTTAGATATAAGCACACTTACAAAATCTGTTCTTCCGCAGCAAAGAACCATTCACGCGATGCGCGAAAGTACTAGACCTCAAAAACTGGCGCAACATCTGTGCGGAGAAAGTCTTCGAGTGTTCCGAATTGGTCACCAATGGAACCAAAAAGTCTCTGGCCGAATGTAAATGTCTGGTTCTTGATCGACTGGTGGCTGAGTGCTTGGCTGGGGACAAGAATGTCGATCTTGCGGGATGGAGGATCGATACTAACTGCTGTGAGTATCATACAGTTAGTACCCCAAGATACCTGGACCTTCTAAACGACCGTTTTACTCTTAGCATATAAGTGTGACGAAAAATATTATTAATCTTTACTTTATGAGTTCTAGAAATTGACGTTGGTCTGTGGTTGTAAAATTCGTTGACGACGACTTCCTGATTTCGATTTTTTTTAATGAAATGTTACATTGGCTAAATGAAAATGATTATTTTTAAGTAAAACTCCAATTTAATATAAAGTTGGCATTTCGCATTGGCAAATCGGCATGCTGGATGATACCACTTTTAGGGATCACAACCCTGCACTAGATTAATTAGACCTAATTATGACTCGTAAAATCGTCGGCGGCGTGAACGGCGTGAAATTGGCGTGGCATATATTTTTCATCCCTGTAAGTATGGAAATGTACTTTTAAAATGGCCTACAAAGTCTCGTTTTTTTTCGGGATTTTTGAGACCACACCGAGTCTCGATTTTTTCCCCGAGACACGGAAATGCGGCGTAACTGAAAGCCCTAGTCTCAATAGGGTGGGATATTGCTACGAACTCGAATGCTCGTCAAGTTCATGCTGTATTGCGATGGCCAAAAACTTCGTGCGATTTCAAAGGATAAATGAAATACGTAAAAAAATTTGAATCAATTATGTATGGCTATATTGATCTACTATTCTAAGTGTCGTTTGATGATCTCATCCCTTTCGGCGGTTTAGGACTACAATGAGAAATGACAACATCTTCAAATAACCACTTCTACGAATGACCACTTCTTGAAACTACAATTTAACTTCTCGTTATCAAAATTATTACAAACTCCGAAATAAGTGAAATCTCCAGGAGTTATGTCGGGCTGATACGGTGGATGACGTAACATATCCCAACCTAACTGCAATAGTTTTCGACGGTTCTGTAAATATGTGTGTGATTGGCATTATCATGATGAAATACGACACCGTAACGATTAATGTTATTATTGTTTCCTTAATGGCGGCCACTAGGCTTGGGCCAGTGTCAGTTTCGAGTGATTTTATATGCTCTAATAATATTATGCTTTTGTCCATGATTGTTTTTTTTTTTCACCTTAGGATAATAACGCATAGAATGATAGTTTCATATCAAACAAACTGTCATAAGTGAGGCAAAAATCAAATTCATGTAGGCTAGTTTTAGTAGTTGGTTAATGTTCAGTCTTAGTGAATATTTATATAAAAATACAAGTTGAAACGCGTTACTTCCTTGTGGAATGTGATGTTAGTATCTATTTTATGTTTGTCTGACGTATTTTTACACTTATTTACCGCACATTTCGTCATTTTTAGCTAAAATTCTTGAGCTGTTCGCGGTGCAAGTTGACCTTGAGCACTGACGGCCCACCCGCTCATGTACGCCCTTTGGGAGCGCTCAATTTGCCTCACTTAGCGTGCGCGGACTAGGTTTCTATGCGTTATTATTCTAAGTTTTTCACCTTGGGTATGTTGTCCACAGCAGTTCGTCGAAGAAGTTTTTCCAAAATTAAATACCTTGCTGCTGCCTTAACGTTAGCGTTCTTGATCAACAGTACGATTAAACTTAAAACTTTCCCGCTCATTCTTAAAATGCGCGCTAAAATATTACTTTGTAAATGACTATAGACAATATTATTTTAAAAGCAAAAAGTTTTTTGAAGCTAGGTATATAGTGGCCATAACCGCATGGACTAAGTTACTAAAACCATTTCTAAGTTTCATCCCATTTAGTACATGGACCATATTGATAGATACAAACCGTCTCGTTGCAGTGATGGAGTGCAAACCACCACTAGTGCAATACGATTGCTACCGCAAGCGCTGCGAACCAACTTGTTCATCACTAGGCGAAAGCAAAACAGGCCGTATGGGTATTAAGGATTGTCCTTCGGAGGACGGCGTATGCTTCCCCGGCTGCTACTGTCCAGAAGGCACGCTAAGGGAAGGTGACGCCTGCGTTGCACCTTCGAAGTGCTTCGACTGTGAGTACACACGCTTGAAACTGGCAAAAGCGTGTTTTGTATTTAAAAAATTATAACACTAATACAAAACAAAACAGAACGCCACCTAGCGAGATTAAATAAAAACTCATACCTAATATAATTTTTTGAATATCGTGATGTTTCTACCACCATGAAATTAATATATTTTTTTGTAAAAATACTTCACTAGATGATTGTCGTTATTGATACGAATATGGAACGAACACAGCTCGAGTCCAGCCCCAACTGAAACAAGAGTTAAAAACGGAAATTAATTTATACTTACAAACACTAAACTATGAAAATACTGAAAAAATAATTGAAACACACACACACACACACGCACGCACGCACGCACGCACGCACGCACGCACGCACGCACGCACGAAGCACGCACGCACTCACGCACGCACGCACGCACACACACACACACACACACACACACACACACACACACACACACACCACTCACGCATACTCATACACACACGCACACACAGTCGTACGCATGCACGCACTCACACGCCCATATAGACTCTGAACTTAATGATATAATTATAATCTGAGATGTGAGCCCTGGAGACCTAAAATACAAGTCTTTTGATTTTTAGGCTCCAGCTTTCCCCAAAATATGTACTCTGTTTCGTAAGTTTTTTTAGTAAGTAAGTACCTACGTTTGGATGTTTTTGTGGAAGGAGAAATAAACGATTATTGTAGGCAGATCTACGGAACGAGGCAGTTTTTTTTTTTTTTGTGTTTGTTTTTTTTTTGTTCCATACTAAAGAAAACACTGATAATCGACTCTGTTTTAGGCTCGTGTCGCACCACTGGGACTTCGTCCAATGTCATGTCGTTCGAAGGAGATGTGTTACCGGTCCATGGCAACTGCTCCTACGTCGTCTCGTCTTCTAGGAAGTTCTTGGTACTCGTCTACAGTATTTTAAATCTTCAATATAGCTCATTAAAGATAAATTTCAAAAACGTACAATGTTGATACAAATTATTGATTAGATTACACAATGAGCACAGTTAGCGAAGAGCAATTCTTAGCAAGCAAAAGTGACAGTATCTATTTTTTCTTCTATTTCTATTGTTTTATAGACCTTAAATACACACATCATAACGTCATTACAGAGTACTAAAAAAACCGACCTCAAAATTTCGTGGAATTACATCTATTTGCCAAGTTTTATTGAAATCGGTTACCGGAAAGTTACGCGAAACCGGATTCATTCCCTAGTTTCCCACCCTTAGATGTGGAATATTTTCTTCAAATTTAAATGGGACCAATATTGAGGTACCCTCTTTCCAACAAAAAAAAAAGAATCGTCAAAATCGGTTCATAAATGTTAAAAAAGTTATCGCGTAACAGACACAAAAACAAAACAGACGAATTGAGAACCTCCTCCTTTTTTGAAGTCAGTTAAAAAGTGTCTAGGCATCAAGTACCTTTTTGGCAAGTACTGAAAATCAGGGTTGTCAATTCATGTTTTTTAACACCGCTGGATTTTTTTTTCGGTCAACTTTATAATTTCAGTTTGAAAATGATGTTGACCAAAACAAAATCCATTAGTGCTAATAAAATTATTATAAAACCTAAATTTTTGTGATTAGCAAAAACGTACTTGATTCCTAGACGCTTTTGATGTGTATATTAAGATTGTCCCGCTCATTGCAAGGTCTGTTTCATATATTACTATTTGTGCGTCTTGTCAAAATACTCTTACCCATGTAAATTGAATTTCTAATTGATGTAATGACTGTTGATGAGCCTAATAAATTAAAAAAAAAGACTATGACTGGTCCATGTTTGTGCGAAATTTTGTAGTTATTTTCTAAGATTTTCCAAAAATTTTGTATAAACATCAATTGTATACTTATATACGTGTACAAATAGGTCGCTGTGACTTACCATCCGTGCAAGAAAAACAACTCAACGTGCACGAAGGCGTTGTACTTTATGGCGTACAGCGGCAGCGGCGACAGAAATGCTCAAGTTATCAAAGACGATGCCGCGAACAAGGTGAGAAACGTATAATATAAACGTACACTTGTGAGGCAGGGATCTCTTATGTCTATGAAAAGGTATTAAAATTTCGGTATATAAGCTTATACGCGCCCCGCGTATACGCGCACATATACGTGCGGCGCACTATAAGTTTCCGGAATGAATCAGAAAAAAGTGCTATAAATGGTCAGAAATTAATTTATTGCATCTCAAAACATTCTCCGTTAGCGTTACTGCACTTTTTCATACGAATGAACCAATTTTGAAAACGTTTATGCCACTCCTCCGTGACAATCTCTGAAACGTATTTTTCGTACTCTTCGACAGCCTCTTCAGGTAATGAAAATCGTTGACTGGTTCTTAATTTTTGGATGGCTCATAAGGTCAACGTTGTTCACCTTCAAAAATTCATTTGATTGTCTGGCCGTGTGAGAACTGGCATTATCGTGGTGCAAGATGATACGGCGTTTACGGTTATTTTTACGAAGTTTGTCAATAACTTCCGGCAAACAAATGGTCGTGTACCAATCACTATTCACGGTACAACGATTCTCCAAAGCAACAGTAACCACGTGTCCAGTTTTATTAAAAAAGAAGCAACCATCCGCTTAGAGGCACTTTGCACGCGCGCCACTTTGGTTGGTTTCGTCTCATCTCGAAAGACCCATACGCTCGATTGCTGCTTTGTTTTGGGATCCATGTAAATCCATGTTTCGTCACCTGTTACTATGGGCCACACCAAATTTGACGCCCTTCGTTGAATCTGGTCAGCATGGCATTGCACTAAGTGACGCGATCCGTTTTTTGAGTCTCAGTCAAATTGTGTGGGATCCACCGAGAGCACAGCTTTTTCACACCCAAATGTTTGTGTAGTATTGATTGTATTTGACTCATGCCTATGCCTAAAGATGCCCGAATCTTATGGTATGTCACATGCCTGTCTGTTTTGAGCATAAGTCGCACAGCATCGGTGTTTTTGTTGTTCACAGCAGTGGACACCCGTCCATCACGCAATTCGTGATGGACGGGTTCATCTTGCATGGTGCTTCATCGCCAAAAGCAGTTTCAAGCTGAGCTATTAAATTACACTTAAAGTCGTAGGAAATCATACTAGGAAAATTTTCACGAGTTAAATCCATGGTGATGTAGACAACCAATTTCTAAAATGACGCCACAATGTAAAAACAAGTGACAGTCAGATGGAACAAACTGTATTCTACAGCCAAAGAGTTCCATTTTCAAATGTCGTAATTACTTTTTAAATATTGTTTATGTAAGAGGCCGGAAACTTAGTGCGCCCTATGTACTCTCTACGTGTCCTCTGACTCTAAGCCCGAATAGACAGGTATATCTGTGCAACCATTTTCCTCGATCAACTCTGAGTCATTGGTTTCCCATGGTCTCACTATGTCGTCTTAATCACGGATACCGACAGGCTCACAAACGTTTTCTACATTTGTGGTCTCTTCACGGAAGACGATATTCTGTATACAACAACAATATCTTGCCGACTAATTCACACAGCTAGCCCAATGCGGGTTGGTGAGTGTGGTATAGATAGACTATATTTGTTGTCTAACTGCAAACATGTGATAGATATTGCTTCGTAAGCAATAAGTTTACGTTTTATTTTAAATTGTATTTTCTGGAGACTGAATAGTAAACATGTCTCTTTAAATCAATATAGGTATTTCACTCTGTCACCTACGTCCATCCTAATAATATGCGATATGTTAAAGTCTTTGAACAATCGAGGAACAACTGGTGATACCACTATTTATTTCCAGTTACTTGTATTAGTGAACCAAAAGCCCGTGTTCAGTGACGTCAGCGAGGACTGGATAACAGTCAAGTGGCACAGCGATGATGAAGTCACCATCTCTCTCACGCAAGTTCACCTCGAGGTAAGTGTCTAGGGGTCGTATTCTAGAACTCTACTCAATGCTCAAGTCAGGAGTATGGTTATGGTTTAAAGCACTCGAAATCATACTCAAGTCCCTGCCATTAGGGTCGTATTTCCAGTGCTTGTGTTTCAATTGCAATCCTGACTTCAGCATTGAGTAGAGTTCTAGAATACGACCCTTAATGTCTCCTTCTTTTTCCTGACCTTATCCCACGCTAGGTGGGGTCGGCACAACATTTATTTTCTTCCATTCTACCCTATCAGCCGTCATTTCCATACTCACACTTTTCTTATCCATGTCATCTTTCATAAAATCCATTAATTTTTTCTTTGGCCTTTCTTTCTCCTTATATCCCTCCACATTCATAACTAACACACCTTTCGTCACATGACATTCTTCCCTTCGCATGACATGTCCACACCACGCTAACCTATTTCTCCTCATCTTTTCCGCCACTGACGTCACTTTCAAGCTTCCCCTGATTTACTCATTCCTTATCTTATCCTTTATTCATTATTCCACACAGCCATCTCAACATTCGCATTTCCGCTGCATGCTCAGTTCGTTCATTCTAACTCATTAGATCGTAAATATCAATTAACACACGCATCGGTACAAACGAGAACGTAATCCCTACAAGCAGGGCAGCTTGGTAAAGATTCCGAAAATATGTGCTTCACTTCACTTCACTTTTTATTTTTATGGCTCCATCAATATGAGAACTGATGATTTTGCCAATGTCACAGTTGAAAGAAAAAAAAAACGAAACAAAAATAAAATTTTCGCTAAGCTCTAAGAGGACATTAACCGGTGTTGGTAAGTTGGACTACGGGAGTACTCAGTATACACAGCGAACGTACAAACTTTTGATAAAAATGCGAACTTTAAATATCATGCAATGGCCGGCTTTATCTACTAATTCTAATCTAATAACTATATCTACTAATGTTGTCGATAGAGTTACAAGAATTGGAGAGTATGTAGGTTATATTTTTCTGTATCCAATGGAGTAGTAAACATTTTTGATGTAACATTGCAACGAATAGTAGAAAACATATCTCGACGAGTAATAGTAGGGTACCTCACAAAAGTATTTAAAAATGAAAGAGATCACATATCGATTCAGTATTTTTAGCTGAGAAATCATTTGTAACGATAATGACACTGAATATTTAATGCGTAAAGCAACTCGATCACACGAAACTTTCTAAGTCCCGGTCGGTAACAACAGTCGTACCTGGATATCAGTGAAGTCAAGACGTCTTTGAAATTTCTTGGTAGGTAGTTGGAAAGGAATATTTCAATCTATTTTTGTTTTTTTAACACACTCATAGTCCCGCACTAGGGAGACCCTGTAACATGGGTGCCATGAACACACAAATAAACACGCACACTCACGAGATAAATAAATGTAGGCATTAGACATAGGCCGGGACCTCTACGTGGCAATCCAGCATGGTAACCGTTGGGCCACGGAGGCAGTTAATTTTGTTTACTAGATTTCATATTGATGCCCACATAATTTTTTAACCGACTTCAAAAGCAGGAGGTTATCAATTCGACTGTATTTTTGTTTTGCATGTGTATTACGCGATACGATACGATAATTTTAAATTTAATTTTGTAAACCAATTTTGATGATTCTTTTTTGTTGGAAAGTGGCTACCTCAGTATTGGCCCCATTTAAATTTGAAGAAACATTCCACCTTTAAGGGTGGCAAACTAGGGGACGAATCCAGTTTCGCGCACTTTCCGGTAACCGATTTCAATAAAAATTGACAAAAAGATTAATATACAATGTATAAAGTAATACCACAAACTTTTGAGGTCTGTTTTTTTCTCGTGATCTTACACAGTGGTAACTTATGCTTAATATTAAAAAAAATTTTTTTACTTACATTTTTTTCGCTCTCTTTCTTTTTCTTTTCTTTTCTTTTCTCTCTCTTTTCTTTCGAGCTCTTAGCTTTTCGCTAATATAATATAATAATTGTTTTTTTCAAACAAACCATCATCGTTTAGGATCATCTACTTTTGTAACTATACTTGCGTTATATAGATTTTAAGACTTTCGTGGTTATTCACTAAATGATTATCACTAGTAACAGGTTTATACAGGTTATACTTGCGTTAATATTAAACATAACAGGTTGATGACTTTACCCCGAAATGTTGATTTGTAATCGCCACAAAGACACGAAAGAATTTCTAACGAAATGAAACTATTCCTTGGCGTAGCAATCACGAAAACTTGTCGATACAATATCTTAGATAATCTATCCCACTCTTGATTACTTAACACATAGTCCAAACTCATTCTAGCTCTACAGTATATAAAAAATACATTATTTGATTTGCACTGTATATAATTGTTTAAGGTAACAATTAGTGCATCTAACATGGACTGGAGCCTACGTGTACCATCGCACTTATACGCCCAGAACACCAGGGGTTTATGCGGCGTGTGCGCATCGGAGAACGAACATTTGGTCACCAGGAACGGTACTGTCACTGATGATTTCTTGGAGGTGAGTTTGCATATTTCGGTCATTCTCGGATAAATTTTCAAGTATATTATCGTGTTATTGTTAAATAATATTTCACAATACGATACTCGAATATTAAATAATATTGCACGATAAAAAATTGAATACTTAAATTATAAAAATTGCCACGGAAATTAGATATTGAACACTAGACTGATTTATGCGATTAGTCAAAGTAATAGAACAGTATATACGTAACAAAATCCTTACTCTTATCGTATACTGGTTTTCAAGACCTCTTGTCTTCATTACGGCATAAGCTGTAATAAATCCTCCTCCTACTCGGTCGCGTCTGTTCCTCACTTTGAACAAGTACACCGTCATTCAATGTTCTCCACTGTACTCTGTCTTCGGCTAGGTGGAGCGCGGCATTCATCGGTACTGCCAGATTTCCAGCTACCTGGTCTCACCATCGTTTCGAACTTCGTCGTCTAGGTCGTTTGTCCTCTACTTGGCTCGTAACAATTAACTAGCATACGAAGTGTTAGATTGAATGTCAGCATTTTTCACCACAGTGATATTAATTTATTTTTTGTGAAATTACTCCACTAGTTTGTTATAATTATTAATACAAAAATCCTTCGATCGACACAGCCAGACTCTGTGCCAACTAAGCCACGGAACGAACCAGCGGACCTCACGAATTTTTGCATGTGCATGTTGTTGTCGGATCTTTGTATCTGGTTTTTAACGACTTTTTAGCGTAGCGTTCTATGAGAAACCAATGAAAGTATTTCGTCACCCAGTTAGGCGCTACAGCTACCAGTCATGGCTATCGTTCCGCGGCTTAGTTTGCTCGAAAACGTCGGTTCGAATTCGGCCGGATCGAAAGAATTTTTCTAAGTATTCGATTTTCATAATAATAATTATAACAATTAATTAGTATTTCGAGATTGTACTGTAATAAATAAATAAATAAGAATAATATGCCAGATAACCACACAAGTTATCTGGTGTCATACTAGGTATTTGCCAGTATTATAAGCACCAGAGCAACGGAGTTCTCTCTGAACCACTCACCAGGAACACGATACCACGTGACTGCGTCCGCAACGTAGCTCAAACGTATTACATATGTCAGTTTTACGATGAATGTAATGTCAAAATTCGATATAAAAGCTGTCATTTGACGTTACAAAGCTAAAACGATGATCGTTGTTTCGTATTCGTACCTGAATCGATTTAGAAAAAATCATTCTCTCGATAACCGGATTCTCATCCAGCACCCACAAGCAGCAATCCATTTTGCAAATTCTTTAATTCCTGTCAGGATAGGTCAGAAAAGCCAACTTTAACCTCTGAATGTTAATAAACATCGACACCAATTGTATGACGTTTTGGGCGACTGTACTAATATTTGTATTTGCAACCCAGTACGGCAAGAGCTGGCAGGCAACTCCTGAGGAGCTGGTAAAGCTGAAGGTGCAAGAACCAGAGATGTGTCAAAACGACTTCCCGGCGCCTCCGCCTGAATGTAAGACTCCTCCAGCTGAAGCAAACCCGTGCAATAACTTGCTTAATACGGATAAGTTTGGCAAAGTAAGTGTAGAACATCTTATTCTAGTAAACGTTGTGCATTTAATTTCATTCCATTGCATTTTATCTCCAAACTTGAATTGTTTGAAAGTGGAAAGTTAAAGTGAAGAAACTTTCGTAATATCTGTCTTTTTTAGGACAGAGGAAAATGACATTTGCAAGGTTGCCAGTTTTTATAAAATTTTAAATAACGCACACACTCAACATGGCCCCGCACTAGGGAAACCCTGTGTCGCGAGTGCCATGGACACACACATAGACAACCACAAATTACACCCAAACTCACGAGAGAAATAATTGTAGGCCATACAACTATTTCTCCCGGCCCGGGAATCGAACCTGGGACCTCTGCGTGGCGGTCCGGCATGGTAACCGTTCGGCCACGGAGGCAGTTAAATTAAATAATAAATATATAAATAAAAGTTAAATTAAATAAATAGTCATGTAATTGTTGTCGACAGTTTTATCGATGAATAATGAAACGGTAAAATTTTGTCAAAAATGTCAGAATTGTCAACTCTACGACGTTCTAATGATTACTAATAGTGTTATTGCCTTCTATGATACTTGTTTTGATAGTCGGGTATCTGGAATGAAAATAAATTTAAGAAGAATAGCCGGATTTGATTATACATATTGAATTAAAATAAAAACTAAAATATGTCTCCTCTTTGTATTTTTAACAGACATAGTTCTAAATGCAGGGTATGAACCTACAAAAATGACAATTAAAATGAACCTATGCCAAACTGTTGGACAAATAATGGGCCGTTGATGGTTCAAATGACACAAGTTCGGCTATTTATTACCAACATTCAGTCGATAGTCGATAGAATATTTATCGACCGCAATCACTAGCCGCTTGCATGCGGGCAACACTTTCGTACAATGAACTGTCATTTTACTCCATCTTCAAAAATTACCGTAAATAAGTTCCTACAGGTGGCGCTGATGGCAAAAAAGCGTTTAAACCCAACACGTGTTAGATAAAGATGTAAGGAAAGACGACATGGCTCTGGATTCCACACAAATTTGATTTAAAGTGTATTCCATAGCATTTAAGTTTATTTGAGTAATAGAATTTCTTGCTCGTTCTTCTCAGGGAAGAGAGCGTAGTGAACAAGCAGTAGCTTAAATGTGACGTTTTCAAGTGTACATTTATTTTACCTTTGAAATAAATGATGCTTTGACTTTGACTTAACACAAACATCTGCAACAAGCACATATAGAAATTCGTAGTATCTGCTAACTCTGTCTGTAGCTCAGCTAGTAAGAGCGGTGGCCCCAGTGTGGCAACAGTCGCTGGTTCGAGTCCAGTCAGATGAAGGGAACTTTCTTTGTGTTTGTACAAATAATAATGAAAAATTAAATGAATGAATCTTTTATCCAAAGTGTCACGCGCTTATCGACCCGCATTCATATGTCCAAGCGTGCGAGGAAGAAATGTGCGCTCATAATTCGACAAATGTGTTATGCGAAACATTAGAACGCTATGCAGCCGTGTGCAGGCAGGTCAGTGTGTGTCTCGATTGGCGCGATGGACTCTGCCCACACAATTGGTAAGCTTATTCGTAGTTTGTTTATCTCAAGTGAAATAACCATCGAGTATATAACCAGAAATAGAGACAAAATGTCATTTCATTTGTTAGAAAACTATCATTATCATTACTGTGACAACTGCGCTCCGATTGGCTAGCCCGAGTTCGAAACAATTGACGGGTGTCGTCAACTGTTTCACTTCAAATTAACCAGTTAACTTGAGCTTTGCTATAATGGAGGAAAATTGCAAAATTACATATTATAGATGAAATGCGATTCCGTTTGTTTTGTAATTAGATGTTTTGCCGTTTTTCCCACACCACCGAATAGACCAGCACGGCATTGTTAGAGAGGTTGTCTTTATTACAATAAATACAGAATATTTTTTGGAATATACGGAGACGTACACACAGGTCTATATTTCAGTACAAAAAAGAGTTGATATTTATAAGAGGTGTATCGCTAGTGTGTTACCAGGAATATATGGCCGTTGTTTCGTCTCTATTTCTGGTTATATACTCGATGGAAATAACAGAATAACACTTTGTAAGAAATTTTCAAAAAGGTTTTGTTTCTAATTTGACAGTATTAGTTTGTGTTTAAAAAAACAGAAAGAATAATAAAAAGATTTTATCTACACACATATCTTAAACTCTCTATAATGTGTTCAAAAACCGCAAATTACGACCAGCATAAAGGTAAACTGTTTTGTTCGAACAAATTTCTTATCTGTGAAAATGTTATTATTGCTATTGGCTAAATTAAAAAAGACAGTAATATTTTTGGATTCTATGAGTCTCTTCAGGCACTTGTAAGATATCTGTTTAGATCAAACCTTATCTCTCCGGTAATTATTAATACGAGAGAGTTACTATTCAAATGTAGATTGAAGGGTTTTTCAGTAGTGTTCGCCTGGATTCCCAGTCACTCGGGAATTTTGGGCAACGAGCACACTGACAAACTCGTCAATGATGCTATCATCTGCGGGGACATGGCTCATTACAAGATTTATAACCATGACCTGGTGACACTTCCCAAGATATTTCTTAGAAATAATTGGACTGTGGCATGGACGGAGAGCTAGAGCAGATATAGAGTAGACTCCCAGTATTGAAAGTCTTAAAATCTGTAACAAAACAACGTGTTCTAATGGAAACAGTGAAGCGCCATTCGTTTACAACAAATGCGTCGACTGCGAGCTGTCATGCGATAACTACGAGGAAATGGCCGCCAACTCAAAAGCTTGTAGTCGACCGCTGAAAGAAGGATGCTTCTGTCCACCTGGCAAGGCAAGTTAAACTAATAAAACTAACCCTTTTTCAAATTTTTTTCCACATCTAACCGACGTTTTTCAGCCTGGGATGCAAAATGGTCTCTAGACCTTCTTATTATTTCCCTTTTTTATTCAATTCTAGTCTGTCTCTTTACGCTTTGTCTTAAAGGTCGCCTTACTTTCCCCTCTTCTGCACTCTGCCGTCCCCTTCGCTCCTCTCATACTCTCATACTAAACATGCCCAAGCCCATCTCATACCTCTAAACTTTTATTCCAACTCTTTTATCGTTTCTGCCATCTAACTGCTGAATTCTCTCCCTGAATCGATTCGATGATCCCCTTCTCTTGATTCCTTCAAACAACGTGTGTCAAGAATCACATCCTCAACTCCTAACTTTGTTCTTTGTTTCATTTAGTTTCTTTCTTTGATTTGTTTCCTAGAAGTATTTATACTTGATTTTTCTTTTTCCCTTAAAAGTATATAAGTATTTATTATTATTTATTTATTTATTGTTATATATTAATGTTATATTGTTATATTTATATAATGTTATAATGTTATATATACATATTATACATTTCGGGGAGTAATCTTTTTCTTTTTCTAACCTTGGATTTGCGTTCAAAATAAGTCGTTTTCAGCTTACGCGTTTATTATTGTCAGATACTGTTGTAAAGGCTATGTCCAAATAGTATTTCCCTAGTATACCTAACAAGACAAGTAGTGTAACTCCTTATTAAACGTGATGTTGTGCCTGGTACGGACACACGCACTCGCATAATCTCGCGGTGCACTCGCGTTGTACAGCTCGGGTCGGACGCGCCAGTCATTATAGAATTGAAACGTCCACTCGGTGTTTAAAAAATTACATCAAGTAGTAAACGTGTACATTTTTGTGTATAAACACAAGAAACCATAAGGTTGGCTATTTCATAATAATACCACAGTTAATATATACTAGTACAGATACCTAATCTCATACAAAGATATGTCGTACTCGTAACTTTATTCGGACGCTTATTACTAGATGGTACCATATAAATTGTATGTGATTGTAATAATATTCGGAAAGACCAACAGATAGCAGTTATTATTAGATTTTTGTCAAGGTTTTTCTCTTGTTCAGGCGCTGATTACACATCCAATAACATATAATAAAATCGCAGAGAAGCTAAGTCTGTACTTTTAATATTTTAAAGTAAAAGTTTGGGCTAAAACGTTACTTAGTTTCGAGAATTAACAAAAATGCCATCTATACAATTTGTTGCAAACTAACCAATTAAAAAGTACATCATTGAGAAACCTTCGATATCTTTTCAACGACATTTTACTGTTGTCACCAATTTTCATAATTGTAAATGAATAATAATTGGCCTTTCCTAAAATGATGTTTAAATGGTTTTACATTAAATTTATATTGAATTGATATTCAATTATTTTTTGTGAAATTACTTCACTACACACTTACATTTCTTTCTTATATTTTATACTTCTTATTTAATGTGCTATACGTTCAATTGTATATTTTATTCAAGTGTCGCCATCTACAGTATGAAATATGTACTAAAGTTAATTTGTATGAATTGATACCCCACGAACACATTTTTTTTATTTATTATGCTTACAACCTGTAAGTAGGTACGACTAAAATGACAATATGACAACCGAGGGAGGTGCCCGCATTGACGCGCTGAACAGGTGGGAGTTGGACTACTTCTCTTCTTTTATACTGTGCCTGTGTATCTAATGGTCGTATTCCAGAACTCTACTCAATGCTAAAGTCAGGACTTGAGTATGATTTAAAGCACTGAAAATCATACTCAAGTCCTTGCCATTATGGTCGTATTTCCAGTGCTTGAAATCATACTCAAGTCTGCTTAAGTCCTGACTTGAGCATTGAGTAGAGTTCTGGAATACGACCCTCAAAGTTTTTAAATACATTATACTGTGTTAATTTTTGTACAGGTTCGATTGAACAACACTTGCATTGAGCCTACGAAATGTTTCCCTTGCGATGCGGATAAAGAACACTTTGCTGGCGACGAATGGAAGGTAAATACATTATTGCTGTTAGATTATAGCAGTGTACGTGTTTTTTTTTTATATTCTAAGACGTCATCTATGCAATATGTACAGGGTTATACAGTGTCCTTTCAATAATTGAAGTCCGGATTTCCTCATCCAATACGTCACAGTCAACACTTTTAAAATATAAACAATCAAATTATTTTTTTCAGTTTTACTATAGTGCCCTACTTATCAATGACAGGTATATAGAAGGCGGTATAGTAAAACAGAAAAGTTTAATTTGCTTCCAATAGAAGAGCCGATAAGCCGAGCGGTCTATTTTACTTTATAGTATTTTAAAAGTAACCAATGTATTCCTGATGAAAAAAGACACGGATTAACGTTATAGGATTTCGTTACATTATCAATATTTTTAAATTCGACTGTATTTTTTGTTTGTAATGTTTATTACGCGAAAACTCCGGCCTTTTTTTGTGAACCGATTTTGATGAATTTTTTTTATTGGAAAGAGGTTACCCTAGTATTGGTCCCATTTAAGTTTGAAGTAAACATTCCACCGCTAAGGGTGGTAAACTAGTGAATGAATCCGGTTTTGCGCACTTTCCAGTAACCGATTGCAATACAACTTGGCAAATAGATGTAATTCCGCGAACTTTTGGGGTCGGTTTTCTAGTACTATGTACTGAGATTATTAATATCAATCTAATTTTTAAAATGCAAAACAGAAAGACGCCTGTACAACATGCAAATGTAGCAAAGTCTCTGGAGGCAACACTACCCAGATATCGTGTACCACACAAGTATGCGCCACTACCGTCTGCGCGGAGAACGAAGATCTTCACACCAAGCCTATTAAACCGGGAGATTGCTGTCCGCAATACTTGTGTGGTGAGTATATATAACTAATATCTACATTAGTAATTTGAAGCCTTTGTCTAGGGTAATTGTCGGCAAACACAGTGATCAGGGCCAAATGTACGACTACAACCATGTACGACGATTGAAATTTCTGAGCCAAACGCAGAGGGTTTTTTTAAGTGGGTCAGTACCTATGGGAAAATCCGAAACCAACCATTAAGTAATTTTGTCAAAACAATTTTGCCGTAGTAATTTTTTTGACCCAGAGTCAGTTGTCCATAAAAATTAATCAAATTGATAAAAATTTTGTTTATTGCTGATCGACTCAGTTTCATGTACAGATCATTCCATTGTATGCGACGAAAAAAATCCGAACAGCCGAAGTTGGTCAAATTGAATAATATGATTTTTCATACAATTCAATAACATTTTATTAAACTTCCGGGGATCGAACCCGAAACCTGAGAGATGACGACACCATGGAAACCGGTGTGCAAGCCACTTAAACCTATCGTCAAAGCTTAGCATTTGTAACAATTACTGAAGATCCGCATTGACGAATTTATTTATTGTTCTAGTGCCGAAATCCATACAGAAAAACTGCGTAGAACCGAAGAAGATGGAGTGCAGCTTTGGCCAAGTCCTGAAACAGAAGACCAACTCTATTGGTTGCACAGAATATGCTTGTGGTAAATCTTCGTATTATCAAGTAACATTGTGTATAAGAACAATCTCTATAGAACCATTCGTCATCAACCCGTTTGTACTTCCCACTGCTGGGCACGCCAAGTCAGGTCTCCTCTCAGGCTAGGGTTTAGGCCAGTCCGCCACGCTGGCCCAAGGTGGGTTGAGGACTTCACACGTTTTCCGAGGGTTGTGAACCATCTCATTACGATGTTTTCCTTCACCGAGAAGATCATGGTAAATTTCAAATTAAATTTTGGACATCGATTCCGAGAAACTCAGAGGTACGAAGTACCGAACCCAGATTCGAATGAGAAGGGTATGCCAAACCGTTAGGCTCCCATGGCTTTTGAATAGAACCTTTATTGTAATTAAATCTATTTGTTCTGATTCTCTTAGTTTCTTCTACTGTTGAGTAAATTTCCGAAAAATTTCAAATAGGTAGTGGATATTATATAAAGTTTCTGGAAAATTGGAAAAATATAATTTCTGTAATAATAATAATAATAACGCATACACTCAACATAGCCCCGCACTAGGAAAACCCTGAGTCGCGGGTGCCATGGACACACATATAGACAACCTACAAATTACACCCAAACTCACGAGAGCAGTAAATGTAAGCCATACAAATATTCGCACCTGGGACCTCTGTGTGGCAGTCCGGCTTGGTAACCGTTCGGCCACAGAGGTAGTTAAGTTCGAAGGCTCATATTATATTCTACTTTTAGTTATGTCTTTTGAAATTTAGTGTGAATTATAAAATAAAATTGCATAGCTAAAGAAACGCGAGAATAAATCGAGATTTAAAATGATTAGACAACAGCGAAAAAGAAGAATCATAGATAAAAAAAACTTTATAATGGCTCCATCGTTTTCGTTCAGTATCTTCAACTTTTGATACGTATCAACTGTCAAATGTGGAAAAATATTCGCAAAATTATTTACTTTTCTGAAAAATGTGAATTTTTAAAAATGGAAATTTTTCCATGGCCCAACACTAGTTTCTTCAAAATGTCTAATTCCGAAATATATAGTTCTTGAAGTGTTGTTCAGTTCCCTGAAAATTCGATGACCAAACAAAACATTTAAGTTTCCCAAATTATCAATAAAAATTAATATCCCAGAATCTTCACTTATCTCTGGAGTGACAATTCCAGAATCAATGAGTTTAAAGACTTCAACAAATAAGCAAATCTATTTTAATACCTACTCCACTAGTTTGTGTGAATCAGGAAAAACACGTGAACCCATCGGGAAAGTAGACGAGTGGTGAAAGTAGACCGATTGTACCGAAGGGGCTATTATCTAATACAAACATCGAACAACAAACAAAAATCCTTCCATTCGACTTCACTCAAAACAACACGACTACAGTAGGGCAAGCAAGACAGGACGTGACTTGCGCAAGAGTGACATAAACCGGGAGATACTGCTATTCTCGCATTGATTACAAACTCGCTCGCTCCGGATCTTTATATTGGGTTTAAACGGTTTTGTTGTACCAGCACTACCTGTGAGAATCTTATCGTTCCGAGTCAGGGCTCAAAAAAGAGTACAATGATGAAACAATGACTTGCAGAAAAATTGTAAAAAAAAATTTTCCCGCCACAAACGTCAATAAAGTCGGTATTACAGGTGATACGGGTTCAACGCATAATAAAAAGGGCTAAATTTACTTTGTATATATTTTAATCAAAATTTTATATGTACTTCTAACTAAATTATGCTTAATTTTTTCTTTACTTGCTTTTTAAAGATTAACATTGCAATATAAGAATATTTTACATTCCGAGTATTTTGCAAAAGTTAGTTAAATGTATCCACTCAGACGACTTTTAGACCCACAGAACAATAAATACAGAAGAAGTGGTTAGCTAACTAACCACTCTGATGGATGTCTGACGCTTGCCAACTATAGGTTTCAAAAGACCTATCTGAGCTCAGTTCGCCATTTTCGCTTTGTATGGTATGGTTGTGTCATCCTTTCGTGCAAATTCTCCAAAATTCTAAAAAAATGCCTTATTGTGTTCTTTTAGAGTGCAAAAATGATAGCCGGACCAAAAATATTACCCGTGGTGGTATTTTATATCATCGTAACGTCTTATTTTACAAGAAACGAAAGTAAATCTTATGCCCTTGCAATATGGTCGCTTCTTGTTTGGAGAACGAAATTAATAACTCTATTTCGTCGTGGTTCACAAATTAACCGCTAGATAGTAGCACAGTGATAGAGATTTCAATATAATATCAAAACGTCTTAACTTGTAATAATAGGTATTGATAATAGATATTGAACTTTCAACAATATGCCAAGAGGGTAAAGTTTAAATTATATTAACAATCCAGAATTTGCGACCTACGACCACGTTTTGTAGTGTTTCAAATTAAGAATATGTGAGTTTTGGCGCTTCCATAGTTTTTTTCTTCAGTGTTTAGACCGATTTGTTTGAGTACCTTTAATAATAATAATAATAATAATAAATTTCTTTATTTCCTCCACAAAATTTAGATATAACCAACGAACAAATTTGATCTTATGAAATAGCAATTTGTGGAGACTGGTGCCTAAACTAGGATACCCTGTGTTTTAGGTCACCAGGCCTCCACCTCCAGTAGATATGTGGCCAACATGGGTATAATAAAGTGAGAATACAGAATTTAAACAAATTTAAAATTAACTTGAAACCAATAAAACAGCCATAAAATGATGTAAACAAAAAAAATTAAAATAAAAACAATGATAAGCATGCATTGAAGTGTGTGTGTGTGTGTGTGTGTGTGTGTGTGTGTGTGTGTGTGTGTGTATGTGTGTGTGTGTGTGTGTGGTGTGTGTGTGTGTGTTTGTGTATCTGTGTATGTGTGTGTGTGTGTGTGTGGGTGTGGGTGTGGGTGTGTGTGTGTGTGTGTGTGTGTGTGTGAGTGAGTGAGTGAGTGAGTGTGTGTATGAATATAAGTGTGCATAGTGAGGCTCAGGAAATAATACTTAAAAGATTTTCGGTTTCATTTCATTTTCGACAGCCAATCAATTATCAATTTTTTGCACTTATACATATTTAGAGGATAAATTTTATTTATTGCATTGCACTTATTGTACAAGTACGGGCCCAAAAAGATAAAAAATCTGTTTACAAATTTGGATTTAGTTTGAGTGCGGGGGCATACTATGTCATGTCTTCTTTTGTTTTTTGGTAAAGTCGGAGTTATAGGTCAACATAGAATGTTTCTTCAGAATGGTTTGGAGGACGAACAACTGACGCACCGTTAGAACTTTAAAATGTTTATAAAGCTCAAACGTAGGGAACTGGTAAGGACGAAATGTGGCAACTTTTAATAGTGCACGTTGTGCCACTTCTAATTTTTTCATGGTAGTTCTATGTGCACCACCCCATGTGGTGATACAGTATATTAAAATTGACTGGCACAACGCGTAATATACCATTTTTAAGATTGTAGGGTCAGCAATATGTCTTAGGGTTTTAAAAACAAACATTAATTTTCTAATGCGAGTAGATAACAGTTTAATATGAGATTTAAAATTCAGGTTCTGATCAAGAGTCAAGCCTAGATATTTAATGGTAGGAACATTTTCAAGACAGGGACATGTGCAGCCAGCAATAGGATAGGACGGACATACATGAGCAGTAAGATTGAAGTTATGTTGCATAGTATTACTAATACAAAACAACATGTACTTTGTTTTCTCCGCATTTAACGTCAAGAGATTATGCCCTAACCAGTCTTGTACTGTATTGAGGCCTTTCTGAGCATATAGAAACACTTCCTGTAAAGATTCAGCTTCAAAAATAAGGGCAGTGTCATCGGCGAAAGACACTATTTTACCATTGTTGAGTTGTAAATTACACATATCATTAATGAAAACCAGGAAGAGAGAGGGACCCAAAATACTCCCTTGTGGTACGCCGTAGTGTAAAGGAAGTTCAGTACTACAAATATTATCAATTTGAACATACTGACTACGGTTGGCTAGGTAACTTTGGAAAAGACCAAGTTGCAATCCTCTTACACCCATTCGTTCTAATTTTTCCAATAGCATAGGAATCGAGACTGTGTCGAAAGCCTTGGCGAGATCAAGAAATATCGACAAACATTTTCTACCACCATCCAAGTTAGTAATTATAAAATCAGTAAGGTCATGGACAGCATCAGCGGTAGATTTGTTTGCCCGAAAGCCATATTGTCTAGGTGAGAGGAGATTGTTACCCTCAAGGTATTTCATCAATCTAATATTCACGATGCGTTCCATGATTTTTGATAAACTGGGCAGTATAGAAATCGGACGGTAATTTGAAATATGATCTCGACTTCCTGCCTTAAATATAGGTTTTATAATTGCTCTTTTAAAAGCATTTGGAAAAATACCCGTAGATAAGCTCAATTTACAAATATGTGTAATAGCAGGTACTAAAATGGTCTTATACTGTTTGATGATCTTGGAAGAGATGCCGTCCCAACCCATTGTACATTTATTTTTTAAAGACATTATTATTTTTTCAACTTCAACCTCATCAGTGTTAAACATTACAAAAGACTGGGGTACGGATGAGGAACTGGAACTACAAATATTGCGGCTGATATTATTATGTTTTATTTTTTCCGCTAAAGTTTTGCCAATATTCGCGAAGTATTCATTTACTCTATTAACAGGTATAGAGGGAACATTATCTATCGAACTGCTGGCCGAGTCTTTCGATTTAATCATATTAGTATTTGATTTTATAATTTGCCACAGTTTTCTACCATTAGAACAGGCTTCCTGTATTTCCTTTCTTTGATACTCACGTTTAACCTTTTTTAAGACGTCATTGCAGAAATTACGGTATCTACGGTAAGTAATTTGAAGGATGTGATCGTTAGGACACTGCTTAAGTTTTTTGTGCATCTTATCTCGGTTTCGAACACATCGCAACAATCCTATAGTAATCCATGGCTTGATGGTTCTAGTACGCCGGGACACACGTAACAGTTTTGTATTAGAAACCAGGGCCTTAGTTAAGAGATTCACTAATAGATTTGCTGCGGCATTGGGATCATCAGATAACAGGATTGGATTAAAATCTATCGAATTCATGGAGCCTTCCAACCTGACGTAATCAATTTTAGTAATAGTATTGGATGTACTGTTGGGTTGTTTCATGTCGATACAAAGCATTATAGCATCATGATCTGTGATACAGGAGTGCAAGACAAAGGCACTGTTTGCTTTCTTAGTCCTTAAAATAAAATGATCCAAGCAACTAGATCCCCTAGTCGGCAGGGTATAAGAAGGCAACATTCCATGCATAGCCAGTAAATTCAAATATTCATCAGAGTAGCCATCAGTAGTGTCGGGTGCAATGTCGATATTAATGTCTCCCACAACAATAATATTAGGGAAGTGTGTGAGTGATTGTAAAACAGTGTTAAGGGACCTCAGAAAATCGGGGACGTTATGTTTGAAACAATGTGGACGATATATAGCAATTATAGCTGTATGGGAGGAGAGTTTTATTACAAGACAATTGGTTTCCGGAAACACGGGCTCTAAAACAGAATACGAGATTGAGTTTTTAATGTAAACAGCAACCCCATCGTTTTGATTATAATCATCGGTAGTATGATGAACGTCGTAGTTACGTAAGTACGGCACATTATTTTGACCACGTAAAAGCCAGCATTCAGTTAAAATGACAAAATCGATATCCAATTTAATTCGCGATATTAAAGTCATTAACCCATCAAAGTTTCGCGACAAACTACGAATGTTTTGGCAAAGCAGTTTAGTTTGTTTATGTGGCTGGATTACAAATGAGGATACTTCTTCGGCAAGACAAGCCCTGGGGTCAGATATTTCAAAATGGTCAATAACCTTTGACGTACGAACGATTCACCTTTGACGTATATAGTGTAGATGTTGAGCTTCTCTCAACCTCTTAGCAACATGGGGAACAGGTTGCGCCAACCTACGCGTCATGGCGTCAATAAAAAATAATTAACGATAGTATCATAGGTGATACCGGTTGCCTCAGGAGGATAAGAAAGTTTCTTCACTAAGCCAGGTAATTTTAATAGCTATCAGGAGATTGACAGAGTCCAGTCTGATCGAAGGAATTTTTCTTTGTACTTATTCGATCTTTGTATCAATTATAATAATAAGAGATACAACCAGGCAGTCTAAATATTACACCAAGAACTCGCTCTGAAGCACGTACTCGTGCAACAGAGCGAGTATATATTACAAGTATTCACCAGAGCCAATACTCGAAGATGACCGTATCAAAATCTATTGGGATCGATCAATTGTCACAGACAGGAACGCCGGAAGTATCTCGACCTGGCGCACTAGATCACCGACATGTGGGATGTGACCTCCACTGAAATAATCCCAATTGTTTTATCCGCAAATGGGTTAATTCCAGTCAGCCTAACAGCTTGAGGCGGTTAGACTTCTGTGGCGTGTCGCTTCCACCACAAATGCTGGAAGCGACATGCCAGAAGGCTGTTTTGCTCGGTACTGTATCAATGTTTGCCGGTTTTTGAACCCAATTCCTGACGACTGTACCTCCCGCCTGAAACCGCTCCCATTTTAAAATTCAAAAATCTTTTAGGTCTTGGGAGATGCGAGATTCTAAAATAAATAATAATAGTAAATCTGTTTAATTCTCAGAATGCAAGCCCCCGAGCGAATGCGAACCAATCCCGGGCCAGGACGAAGTGGAAATTCTCGATCCAGGGCTAGAAAGGGTGATCGATGATAGCGGATGTTGCCCACGCGTCATCGTCGAATGCCACAAGGACAAGTGCCCGAAGGCAATTGAGTGTCCGCAATTCCATACACGGCTGACTAAAGCGAACGACGCTTGTTGCCCCAAATATGACTGCGGTAAGTGTACTGTGAACTCTATTTAGTTTCTTTCCATCTTCATAGTTTGTCAAGTAAATTTTATTCTATAAAAACAGGCATGAAAAAAAGATTCATATAGGATCCATTTTTTCTTTTTTTTATAATATCAAGCGACGAACAAGTCGTGCGTCTGATGATAAACTACACGCCTGTACATAACATAACACTTGCAGTGCCACTCAGCTCTTTAAATCGCAAAGACGTAAGTTGACAAGTCCCATGTGCCTGCAATTTCACCAACACGCATACCCTTCAAAACCGGAACAGAGTAATGCTGACATTATTGCCTGGCGGCAGAAATTGATAAGGTGGCAGTACTTCTCTGGACGAACTCATTCACAAAGAGCTATACTGGTAATAAAACAACATACAACTTGGACGCAAAGTGGTACCTCAAGTACTACGACATATTTTTTAATAAAAAAGTACAAAACATCAAGCGCGAGCGCGTGCGCCCATACCATATAGACACGCCGCGGTCCCGACCCGACCCGACCCGACCTGCACCCGACCCGCACCCGACCCGCATATTTATATATTTTTTATTAGGGCAAAGTTTTCATTTTTTTAACCGACTTCAAAAAAAGAGGAGGTTCTCAATTCGACTGTTTGTTTCTTTTTTTTCGTATGTATGTTACGCGATAACTCCGGTGTTTGTGAACTAATTTTCATAATTATTTTTTAGTTGGAAAGAGTTTCCTCCATAGTGGCCTATTTAATTTTGAAGAACATCATCCGCCTCTAAGGATTCATTTTTATAAATAGCGCCTATTTATTATAAGGAGCAATTATTGATTTTGCTATTCTCCAATTCAAGGCGTTTTCTCTCTCAATATACTTTAAGTAGTGAGAACCTATTTTTATTATCTCCTGTGTCATTTCCCGTATAGTGACGAACTAAGGGATGAATCCGGGTTTGCGCACTTTCCGATAACCGATTTCAATAAAACTTGGTAATTATATGTAATTCCACGTACTTTTGAGGTCGGTTTTTTTAGTACTCTGTACTGAGATTATTGTTTTTCACAGAGGTACCCAAGGACAAATGCATAGTGCAATTGGAATGGGAAGCAGCCCCGAAAGGTGGAGAGAGGCCGCGTGATGTGCGTGAAATTTTACTCAAAGATGTAAGTAGAAA